ACATGACCACATTTTAGTGATGCAGTTTCTGTATGAAAGGTTATTTCACTCCACATTAACAACAGGATAACGATAAGATTAGAAAGCCAGAGGCGTCAATTACACATGCTGATTGGGTCAAAAAGCAGATTTTGTTTGCCAGCAACTGACAACTATATGAGCACTTTAGGTGAGACAGTTTTTTAAAGTGTAACTTGAAAATTGGTAATGAAGACTAAATTAGAATTAGCAGCAGGCAACAGATCCAGTAACTTGCCACTAAGCCCAGAAAATATAAAAGTAGATAGCTCAATAATGTTGGAACAGGGATCTACTTTCATTTGTCTGTCCATTACTCCATATTCATTTTTAATCGTTGGCCATGGGGCAGGGCTTCTATTTTTACTGAAAGATCAATGAGCACTACACAGACCTTTGTTCACACCTCAGGCAAATGCAGTGATGTTTATGGATGTGCACTATTATTACAATTGCTCTTAACTCTCCCTCCTCCAGCCTATCAGTAACACCTGATTCATTAATAAAAGCCTGAGCATTTCTCAGGAAATATGCTCTGAACAAAAATAATTACTTATTGTTTTTTGCATTTGTTTACATGTAGTATTCTTATTTGTTATAGTTGATGTATTTTTCCTTTTTTTTTTCATGAAACAACTTGCAGATATGTTTTCACAGCACGGCCTGGCTGTTGTTATTGAAGGGAATGTATAGTCTTTTAAGTGTTTTATTTTTTATTTTTTTAGGTATACATGTTAGGCCGGGTTCACACCTAGGCAGCACCGTTTTAGCATGTTTCTACGCGCGGGAGCAGTGTGCGGTTATTTGCCCATTTTTATGCGCAAAAACGCTCACAAAAATGTGCAACATGCTTCTGTCGCGTTTTTGGGCATTTCCATTGAAGTATATGGGGCAAAAGCACGCTTTTAACTGCCCAAAGAAGCTCATGCACCTTTTCGGGTGCTTGGCATTTTCCTGCTAGTGGTTTTCTGCTCAGGTGTGAACAAGGGCCATTGAAAACTGTGGGATTTCATGTGTTGGGCCTTTAAAAGCACTTTTCTAACTGCTCAAAAACACAAAGGTGTGAACCAGGCTTTAGAGACCGGCTTAATATTGTAATTGCAGCAATGCTTGCTATTTTTAAAAAATCTTTATTTTCTATGTATAGTTTGCCATTAAATACATACATGAGAGCAGCCATATTTACTGATTGCATACGCAGTGCTGCACAACGGTTGTGCTTTACTGTTAACTCTCACAATAAATTGTTATAAGTTAACCAAGTCACTGAAAACAATACACTCATGTGTGGCTGATGTCCTATATCTGTATTTCCTATATATAGTCAAATATAGAACACCCTCTAGTGGCAAATCTGAAAATCTCCATATTTTATATCATGCCAAAATAAAGAAAAGCAAGCATTTAAAAGTATGAAAGTCACAGCAGAAAACACTTTAAGGCCCCATTCACACACAAATCGGCCTGCACGTACAGCTCCATGCTGCGTGCGGGGCCGTACCTAGTAGCTGCTGGGAAGGACAGGGGCTGCGTGTGATTAGTACGCAGTCCCCGTCCTTCTCTATGGGGCTACGCTGCCCTACGCCCCCCTACGCTCACCTCAATTGCAGGTCCGTAGGGGTGCGGGTGATCGTATTCATACGCCGCCGGAATGGATCCTGTATGCGTCCCGGCCAGAAAACCCGCACCCCTACGGACCTGCAATTGAGGTGAGCGTAGGGGAGCGTACGGCCGGGTAGCCCCATAGAGAAGGACGAGGGCTGCGTACTAATCAGACAATAAGTACTATCCTTGTCGCACTCCTTACCGATATGTCCCTTGTAGTGGGGGGTGCTCGCAATGACCGCGGATGGCACCGCAAATGTCAGCAATTGTAGAAATGTCACCAGCACACCAATCCTTTTAAGATAGCAAAAGCTTAATTTATTGGAGTTTTTTGTCATATGACCAAACCAGCGCTTTCGGGACCGCACAGGGTCCCTTCATCAGGCTTTAGCATTGACCACACGCAGCAACTGATCTTCCCAGCAGCTACTTGGTACGGCCCCGCACGCAGCACGGAGCTGTACGTGCAGGCCGATTTGTGTGTGAATAGGGCCTAAAGGTAACTCTGTACTAATAACTCGAAATGCACAATACTTTACCTTTAAAGAGACCCGGTGAGGTCTCTATAAAAAAGGGCAGTCCTTACAAATATGAGGTAGCACCTCTCCAGCAGCCCGTGCTGGCTCCTTCCTTTGATCCCCTACGCCACCAACAGGACTCATCAATGATGTGAGGGTCGGAGCCTGGTACCAGTGCAGCAGGGAATAGAGGCATCCAACACTCCTGGAGATGCTGAATTCTGAACAGACTGCTTAAAGTGACATTAAACCCTCAGATTTTTTAACATAAAACAATACTGTAATGTGTGCCTTACTGTAATCCATGGTTGTTTCCCTTCTCTTTGCTGCTCTTCCTTTTAAATCTGTATCTGTTCTCATGCTCTGCAGAACTTCTGTTTTGCAGCAGACTGCCTTGTCTCAGGAATGGATATATGGTGTCTGTGTATAAGTTTGTATAGCCTTGTAATCTGAGCCAGCACTACAGGAAGAGGCCCTGAGCTGAAAAGGGAAATTCTCCCCAAGCATGAGAAGAGATGAGGATTTAAAAGGAAGAGCAGCAAAGAGAAGGGAAACAACCATGGATTACAGTAAGGCACACATTACAGTATTGGTTTATGTTAAAAAATCTGAGGGTTTAATGTCACTTTAAGGCTGCAGCCCTAGAAGTGAGGGGAGGTAGAAGTCACAGGCCACTCAAAAGGTGAGTATACTACCTTTTATCTTGCAGGGAACTGACCTTTTTTATTTAGAAACCTGACGTTTTCATAGTGACACTAAATTCATAAGTCAAATCTTAAAAATACATTCAAGTACTTTATCTATTTACAGAATTAAAGCTTATTTGTATATCACTCAGCTGTAGATCCTCAAATCATCTCTGAATTGGTGCCGACACTGTCCTTCCTTCTGGAGGGTAGTTACTTTTGTTCCCCATGGTCTCTGTGTGTGTTGTAAAGTAGCCATGGCTCCAAACTCACTCCTGTAATGGACTAAAATCTGAATACAAATTAGTAAACTAAACGTGAGACTGTAGTCCATCACAGGAGCGAGCTTGGAGCAGTGGCTACTTTACAACACACACACAGGGACCATGGGGAACAAAAGTAGCCACCCTCCAGAAGGAAGGACAGTGTCAGCAGATGATCTGAGGATATACAGTCAAGTGATACACAAATAAGTTACATTTTTGTTAATAGTTAAGATACTTGAATGCATTTTTTAAGATTTAACTCCTGATTTAAGTGTCATATTAACACATCCAACGCTAGCAGCATTCTGAAATCATTTTGATTTGTAAAGGTGATGATTGTGTTTATGGTGCATATTAATCATATAATACAAAGGGCACTACTGTGGTGTGATACTTGGTAATCAATCATATATCAGCCCCAGCAGCTTAATGTAGTAAGATACATGAAAACTGATGCGTGACAGTGGTAAAAATCACACTACTGATCTTCACATTACTTTAGTAAATAAACATCAAAGGATTTCTCATAATTCTCCATTTGTAGCAACCTGCATCATGTAGCTTATTCACCTTCCATTGAAAGGCTGAATAGCTAAGAAGAATATTATATATATAAAATCATCTAGCATGCTGCTTTGAGTACATTTCAAGAGCAGTTTAGAGTTAAGTTTAAAGTTATCCCTTGGAGAGAAGGCCTATAGTCACAAGCAATAACGGAGGTGGCCACTTCTGTCTGCTCACCGTTGTATTTACCAGCTTCTGAGCATTGAGTGCATTTCATCAATGCTGCACTTTCTCTAGTGATCTTTTCCTGATCAAAAGGAATATCAGGTGGTTATTTACCTTATATGCTAGATGTATTCGGGGTCACCAAACAGCCACTCGGCACTCACAGCTGCATTTACCAAACAGATCAGATGTATCTATGAAGAAATATATGCATTCTGCATTCAAGAAAAAGTGAACGCAGTTTCATTCAGAAAGAGCAGCATTTATTAAAGCTGAACCCTGGGCAGAAACACTTTCATTCAAATATGTTCCTCAGTAGCCACAAAGAATAAAAATCCACTTTATGTGCCCAAAATGACTTTGCAAACCAAGAGAGAACCTTGTAAAAGTAGTGGTGACATTATCACTGGCCTGTACATAGCCTGTGTAGAGAAAAAAGCCGTGGGAGGGACCCAGCAACTTCACCCACTACAGAAAACTACAGGAGAAGGCGGATACAAGACCAGTCCCCCTTGCACAAGGAGAGAGAGCAGCATTGACTGGACTTTATCACAGGAAGCTCCTGCACAGTTGTTTCATATTGGATTACTGCACAAATCTGAAAGAAATACACAAATGAGACCGAGAGTCATGTAAGAATACATATGCCTGTTGTATTTAGGCATAATTGTATAGCCTGGATTTCAGCTTTAATCTTCTAGAGGATGACTTTATGGAATAAACATCTAAATATATAAATTAAAAAAAGATTTCTTTTATTTCTTTTACAGTATTAAATTGGTTCCCCTCTAATAATAAAGGTTTGGTCCTTAATGCACTGTAGCCATGTGGGCTGGAAAGAGATTACTGCCATTCCAGCAGGCACTGAATATTTTTCATGAATATGCTGATACTGGCAACAGACCTACCAATAAAGGGCCACACATACACCTATTCAGAACCCATCAACTTTTCTCCCTACGAGCTGCCTTTTGTATCATTTAAAGTTTTTTCTATATTTCTGCCACCTCCCTGCCTATCATAATTAGTTAGTTCATCATAGGTAAACCAAACTCCAAAAGAAGTCAAATTACACATAAACCACAGGGAATGCAGTTTGTTAGTCTTCAATATGGCTTAATGTTAATGAAAGTTTCCTCTGTTAATTTTTTTTAGCACTGGTAACACAGGAAGATGCATTTTTTTTGTTTAAACAGAAGTAATTCAAGAGGCTGTATTGTAAAGCTGTGACATAATCCATGGTTTTGTAGACCCCCTAGAATCATGATTATTTTGGGGTCACTCCTGCAGCAAGAGGACCCTGGGACGATCCTCGTGTACAAGTTATGAAGTCTATCTAGGAGGTTCAGTCAGCTTAGATTTGGGGTGAGGAGATGCCTATTTCAGCAGGGAAATATCGTCAGCAAAATCATCTTGCGATTGTCTTAAGCAGCGGAAACAACGCCACTGAAAGAGCATTAAACAAAGGGGCAGCATAAAGAGGGCACACACACCAGCCATTACATAGGCCGTAGTCATCAAAGCTGACTCATCCAGCTGTGGAGTGTTATAGCCACAGTCTTCTAAGTTAGAGGCATAGAATGGACCGTCCACTGAAGCCTTGCGAGAGAAGTCGTGCACTGCAAGAGATACAACAAAAGCTTGTGAGACTTCTTTTCATTTCTCATTAACTGACAGTAATCTCAGTTAGGAACAAAAGTTCCAATATTCCAGAGAACAAAACACATCAATGGTTAAAGAAGAACTCCAGGAATTAAAGTTAGTAGGGTGAAGAAAGAGAAGGAGAAGGAGAAAAGGGGAAAACTTCAGATAAAACATTGCAGTCTATGATTAACCCCCTTCTACCTTATTAATGCTTCTCCATTAAAACCCCATGCTGAGGATAGGTTAACAAACATTGTCCATTTTTGCCCCTTCTGTCACTGAAAGTCCAGGCCCCCACTAACGACAGGGAACCAATCGGAGTGGATCTCAAACATCTGACCATTATGTCAGCTATAACATGACATGCAAGCTGAAGACTTTCAGAAAAAAAGTTTCAGCTTGGAGAGGCCGCTGCAGCCTATGGATACATTTTCTGGGGTATGATCTGAAAAGGTAACATTAATTTTTTTTATTCACATAGATTTAAAATCAATTTCGTTATAAAATAAAATAAAAACTGACATCACCCAGTGCAAAGTATAGCACTTCAGACAAATTTGTCACTGTGTCGCTGCTCTCCCAGACATGCATCTTAGCATAAATGCATCTTGGTCATTAGTTGGAGCCAAAAATCATAAGACATTCTTATTTCCTATGCTCCTTAGCAAAATCTAGTGGTATTTTCCCAATATAGAATTCGTCCTGGACAGAAATATACTAATAACATTTGGTTTTGTCCCTATTCCCATGAATGTACATGCAGTTTCAGAGGATGAATGGCTCCCTAATACATCCCTAATTCTTCATTTCAAGGTTAAAAAGTGACTTATAAATCTATTGACTTCTTTCAGAGCTTGTATATACTCCTTACTAATTATTCCTGCTACTTATTGTCAGTTAAAATAATAAATAGAAATGCAATCATTTGACTGTCACAAACACTTTAATTTGCTCTTGTATATGCATCAGGTCTGCTATATTATACCAAATGAGTTCTTACCATGACATGTGCTGACAGCAAAACCAATCCGTTTACGTGCACGATCGAAAATAACATAGAAACCTTCCATGATAACCGCACCCATTACTGTGCCAGTAGAAGACTGAGACACTGCAAATTTATAACAGTCATCCTGAGATGTGGCTATGTCCTCCACCGGGCGCAGGTATTGCTGCAAGAAGGGCAAAACATTATTAGATCTGTGTGTAGGTGAGTGTCTAGTAAGGAGATGGAAACACAAGTGTTACAGTGCTGCAAATACTATCAAGACAATGTTAAACTTTTTATCAGAAATTTGGAAAAAGCAATTAAAAAAAGCAAACTAGACATTACATGTAAATATAATGGCATAGGTATGCTGATGTCAGATAATAAGATTCGCTAATGTGAGTGCTAACCTGTGGCAAGATAGTGATGCGGAAAGATTCATTGGCTGCTTCACCCATTAGATAAAGGGATATCACAGGAAATATGTTCCATGGGGTGGTACCCTCCTGCCAGCATACCAACTGTTCTCCCATCCAGAATCCATCAGGGAATTTCTCTGTCTACAGAAAACCACATTGAGATGTCTTAAACATTAGAAATTTGTAATATCTGCATTACTGATAAATAAAGTAATTAGCAATATAAGATAAAAAACAAAATAATGATCATATGCGTAATGTGACATACCTTATTGTTGCAAATACTGAATGAAAAAAAACACCCCAAAATAAAATAGTTATATGCTTGTGCGTTACTGAAATGCAATAGTGTGAGGTCCCTTTCATACATGCTGATCAGAAAGGGATCCATGCATGAATCTCCCTCCTGATAAGAGTAGTATGGATTGGTAAGAACTAAAACTGCTGGACCCCATGTTGGTCTATGGGGAATCGGATGTTAACGGGCATGTGTCCATTTACATCAGATTGCTAACACGATCAGGTCCGGTGAAACGTAACTCTGTTCCGTTTGTTTTTCTGGACCTAGCCGGAGTCCGGGGTAACCGTGTGTAAAAGGAAGCCTGTCTATTTACACCCAGCTGCCCATGAACTAGCATTGGGCATCCGATCAGGTGTAAATGTGTCCATTTACATCAGATTACCCTCGATCCAACACGATCAGGTCCGGTGAAACGGAACGCTGTTCCGTTTGTTTTACTGGACCTAGCCGGAGTCAGTGGTAACCGTGTGTAAAAGGAAGCCTGTCTGTTTACACCCAGCTGCCCATGAACTAGCATTGGGCATCCGATCAGGTCCACTTGAAAAATTGACAGGTGGACCCAATCGGGCCCATGTGAAATGGGCCTAAATTGTTTTTAACAGAGTATCAGCATAAGTTTATGAAAGATAGAACATCCCTAAAATAAAGCACAACTCACTAAGCTATTATGGTCATTATTTAGCATGATTCACCATAATGACCACTATTTCAGCAATGGTACCTGAAAATAACAGTTACATGATTCAAAGTAATGGTCCTTATGTCAAATAACACATGCATTATAACTGAGTGAAGTTAAAATGCTTTAAAGTAATATATTTATTTTGCTATAGAATTTGATAATCTTCTTTTTAGCCTTGTGCAGAAGTTGGGTATGTAAGGGTTAGGCCTTTTTGCCTATGAGTGAAAAAAAAAAACTTGATAAAAAAAGACAGATCTATATAATCCTGTGAATAAAATCTTAATCTTGCCATTGATGCTCAAATTACACAACATTTGTAGAATTATTAGAACTCATCAGGATAGCAACACATTACAGAATGAGTAGTTAAATATTAAATTAAATGTAATGTTGGAAAAGGCAAGATTATGCACACAAGTCACTGGAAAGAAAGGGCTTTCCCTCTTTACACTAAATAGAATATAGCTGGGCAAAAGAGAACTAGTCAAAGAATTGGGAATGCTAGCTAAGTGGAAGCACTTCATGTTCATGAGTAGAAGGTATAAAGCAAACAAAATGAAAGGTATAAAAGGGAGATATTTACATTTGATGGTATTATAGTATTGGTTCTAAATCACTCATAAGGCCAAACCTAGAATATGGTGTCCATGAGAGTAACATTGCAAAATTACATATACATTTTGGAGAGGGTTCAAATGCAGACAACTAAATCAATAACATGACGGGAGAATCTCACATACAATAAAGGATTAGAAAACTGGGTATGTTCAGTTTAAAAAAAAACAACAACACAAAAACAACGAAAAGCAAAGTCATAATTAACATGTTCACATTTATTAAAAGTCAGTTAAAAGAATAATTAGCAAATATGCTTTTAATCCCAATGACTATATAATAAACACACACTTGCCGATGTAGTTGACATTAGAGTGTAAGCTCCTCTGGTGCAGAGGTCCGTGGAAGTTTGTCACATAATATGTCTGCAGAATATATCAGTCTACAAAAATGCATAATAATGATATGAAAATTGTATATAGCTATGTTAGAACCATTGGAAAGTAAGCTACGTTGGTGCACAAACTGATGTGAGTAGGTCAGTGTTTTCTGTAGAGAAAACAAAATATGTCAAAGCTTTATAAATGTATTAGGAGTGAATGGCAGTTGTGGGAACATTACAGTGAAAGGTTGTGATCATTTGATTTATGGGTGCAGTGACATGCATGTTGTTCCTGTTGGCTGGGTGGTATCATAGTGCACACTGTTACTTTACTCTCAGAGGTAAGAATGCCAGTGATGGCCCACCCCTCTCTCTTTCACCACATGCACATACATTACAGGGACGTGTCCAATCAGTTAGTGTCCTTACTACCACTTAGTGACAAGAAGCATGTCACATTACAGCTGTCATGTATCCTGTATCAGTATCCTGAATGTTTTGGGTTTTTTTTGCTGTCAATTTTACAAGCATGCTTTCTTCTTTTCTTCTTCTTCTAAATGACAGTGTCTACAATGTGTCCTCAGGGTGTCATCACTTCCTCTTATACCAAGTTGCCTTCATTCCTCACCAGCTACTCTCTAGATATTGCAAAATGAACTAGTTCATATCTGCTGGCCCTGGGTCATAGTGTGAACTATTTTAACTGCCCGCCACGTCAAAGGCTCTATTTAAGCAGTGGACAGCATATAATGTAGTCAATTTGCTATTAGAGGTAGTGGAATCGCCCGGGGCCCGCGCCCCTGCTGCACCCCCGGTTGTTACGCCACTGAGTGGAACATCCCATTATTTATGTTTATGTGTGAGAAATTCAGCTGAGAGCATCCCAGAAGCAAGTATCCCCTGTTCTTGAAAACATAGTGCCCTGTGTGACCACGAAGGCTTAACTAGTATTAGTTATTTACAATCAACTTGACATGTTTTGTCATGTTAAAGATGTGTCACCAATCACCTCCACGTGGCGTCCAACATTTTAGAGGATGACTCCTTTTACATATTTTCTAGATTTTTATACTTAACACCTGGATCCCATATTGGACCCATTCTAGGTAGGATACAACTCTTTATTGTGTAGTACACCTAATCTTTAATTATGGACATATTCCAGCATATTGGAATTGTGACATTGTATTGCATTTACATTTGTGTAAAAAGCCAGACAGTCTTGGAGCTGGAAAAGTATCTGTACTTGTACCTGTACCGAGTACGGTACTTGGTATCGGTGCATCCCTAATAGTATGTTGTTTTTACTATTTCACTCCAGTACTTTGATGTCCATAAGAGATTCTAATTCCAGCTTCCTAATTCCACGTTCTATAAAGAAGGAGTGACCTGGGAGAAAGTATATAATTTGTATGGTAAAAAACATATCCAGTTATAATTAAATATCATTCATAGTTGAAAATGTTGTTAGCCTGGATTGTAATGATGATACTAATAAAAAGACTAAATATAGATGGTCAGGTTGCTGCCTTGCTGCAATTTCATATTCCCTGTACTGTTTCTGGAAATGTATTCAGTGCCCTTATAGTTCCTTATAGTTCTAGTGAATTTTATCAAACATTTTTACTCACTGAGGAAGCGGCCTTAATTGCTTTTACAGCTTCATCAAAAACGCGTTTTGGCAGGCGAAGATTGGTTGTACCGCTGTCCACAATGCTCTTATCATAGTTGTACTGTAATCCAAAAAAAAGAGAAAAAGTCATTTTATAGAGAAAGATATTTACCATATGCTTTATTCTTCTCAACTTGCGCACTGAAGATGGGATTCACCCCCTCTGCCGTTGTAGGTGACAGAAGAGACAGTGATAAAGCAATGGATTTCTAAGGCTAGAGTTGTGTTGTGATGAAAAAGCTACAATAGTTTTCTAAATGTATCTAATGTATTTATTTATTTATTTAAAAGAGTTAAATAGACCTAGGAGGGCATAGACCTAGTCAACTGTATTTCCTGTGGTCTCTCTGCAGCTGATCTTCCCCATTACTGACTTACCGTGGCTTGTTCTGCAGTGTGTGTCTGGGTGGAGGCAGCCATCTTGGTAGTGGCATGGCTTTGCTTCCTCATGTCAGAATCTCCAGAAAGGAGAACAGGGAGCAGCACAATAGTGATATTACCAAATCTCACTCCAGATCTCCTGAGACTAGCAGACAGAGGCAACAATGCCATAGAACTTGCACTGCAAATATACAGCTTTGAGGCTGTAGGCACAGGAGGGCCTAGGCACACTCACATACCAGGATGCTATTTTTTACGATGCATTCCAGACAAGTGGTATATTTTTTTCTAGATGTTCCCTATAACTTAACAAATCTCCAATTTTTTTATTAGACAATACTTAAACTTTTTAAAACACCTTCTTTGGTATTATTATGAAATTCAACTCAATGTATAATACATACATGCATATTTTTCTTTGTTATGCTCAAAACTAAAAAAATAAACCTTTAAAGTAATATAATCCTTTTTAGTTATGTTAATATGAAATATTGCCTATGAACATTTTGTATTCCTCTATTAAACCAGCAGGTGGAGCTTATTTTCACATGTTGTCCAGTGTCTTCTTTGCCCCTTCTGTTAAGAAAGATTGGTGTTTACACAGCTCAGCAGCTCAATATAAAATGTAGACACAACAATAAAAGCAGCGACTCCTTCCCCTCCCTCTTGGAAGCCTCTTTCCCATGATCGTTTGACAGCTTTGCCTGAAAGAAAATAACTTCTTTTGTACTCTCTCGTTGTTCTGCAGTGTTTGTCTGGGTGGAGGCAGCCATCTTGGTAGTGGCATGGCTTTGCTTCCTCATGTCAGAATCTCCAGAAAGGAGAACAGGGAGCAGCACAATAGTGATATTACCAAATCTCACTCCAGATCTCCTGAGACTAGCAGACAGAGGCAACAATGCCATAGAACTTGCACTGCAAATATACAGCTTTGAGGCTGTAGGCACAGGAGGGCCTAGGCACACTCACATACCAGGATGCTATTTTTTACGATGCATTCCAGACAAGTGGTATATTTTTTTCTAGATGTTCCCTATAACTTAACAAATCTCCAATTTTTTTATTAGACAATACTTAAACTTTGTAAAACACCTTCTTTGGTATTATTATGAAATTCAACTCAATGTATAATACATACATGCATATTTTTCTTTGTTATGCTCAAAACTAAAAAAATAAACCTTTAAAGTAATATAATCCTTTTTAGTTATGTTAATATGAAATATTGCCTATGAACATTTTGTATTCCTCTATTAAACCAGCAGGTGGAGCTTATTTTCACATGTTGTCCAGTGTCTTCTTTGCCCCTTCTGTTAAGAAAGATTGGTGTTTACACAGCTCAGCAGCTCAATATAAAATGTAGACACAACAATAAAAGCAGCGACTCCTTCCCCTCCCTCTTGGAAGCCTCTTTCCCATGATCGTTTGACAGCTTTGCCTGAAAGAAAATAACTTCTTTTGTACTCTCTCGTTAGCAAATCCACAGTGCTTTCGGAATACTTTGTCAAGTAAAATATATATATAAAACATAGGAATATGTGAACATCAGTTTGAAAACCTATAAGCTATAATCTTTATGAAAAATAGTAGTTTTCCTTTAATGTATTTGGTGTATATATACACATATATATATATATTTCAAAGCTACAAAACTTTAAATCAGTCTGCTGAAAATTACATAATGATGTCAATCTACATATTTGAATACCTTTAGTCAATTTAATAACACTCACCTCTTTACAATCCATCATCAAATCCTGTCCATTAATTTCAATCTTAACAATTATAACCTCATAGTACCACTCTTTTCTGATTGGTGTGTACCAGATATTCCCCATGTATAAGGATTCATCTATTCCTCCAATTACCTAAAGATCGGAGTATAAAGATTTTTTATTAGCATACAGTATGGATTATTGTCTGTTCAAAACAAACAGGGTTATTCACAAACGGGTGAAGAGTTTGGAGAAGGCAGGAGAAGTGAAGATCCTCAAATCCTCTCTGAATTGGTGCTGACACTGTCCTTCCTTCTGGAGGGAGGCTACTTTTGATGGATACAATTTCATATTTAGTTTACTAAATAGTATTGATATTCCATCACAGGAGTGAGCTTGGAGCGGTGGCTACTTTACAACACACAAAGGGACCATGGGAGAAGGACAGTGTCAACATGAATTCAGAGATTATTTGAGGATCTACAGCTGAGTGATACACAAATAAGATATATTTTTGTTAGTAATTCAATGCATTTTTAAGATTTAACTCCTGAGTTTAGTGTCACTTTAAGAATTCATACGCCGATGATTGGTTATACCCAAAAAGAGGAACAACTAAAGACGAAAGAGGGACAGAAGAATTAGGTGCCAAATGAGGGACAGTTGGGAGGTATGATGGTATCGTAATGGACATATTACCTTACAGAACCCCAAACCCACCATTTTGTTCAGTACAGAATAATTTAAATCCATATGTATTTATGGGTCAAACTCCATCTAAAGTCATCAGATATCTTTTACAGTAGCACATCAGCAGCACAAATCCATTAGAAACCACTTAATCCTGCACGGCGCTGCATATTTTTTATACCATAATTCAAATCTTAGCCTAAATCATCAAAAAAACAACAACTTATTCTTGAAGTACAGATGCTCTTAAACAGAACATTGATTAGTTTATATTTGTGGTCCTCTGGGAGCATATTTCAGTGCAAGACAAAATATTTATTGCTGCATGTTGCTGTTTTAATTTCTTTAAGAATTTAGAAGGTATAAAAGTAAAACAGATACAAATATAAAAACCTATCTTGATGAACTGATTGATATGATTGGCTAAAAGGTTGATTGGGATATTCTATCTGTGTTGTTGCCAGTGGTTACTTGGATGCCAAAAATATGATCTAAACATATTCAGTGGAATTCATAAAATTAATAAAAATTCTGTTGTGCATCTGCACAGCAAATGTCTTTGAGTGCCTCAGATTCATGTACCTGTTAGAAACAGGTACATGAATTTGGTACAAGTACCGCCATATGCGGTGCAGGTGTAGTCTCTACACCTGTCACACAGACAGTCACAGTGGCCAGAGGACTTATACTGTGGGTGGGTGGAACTTGATGGGGAACTCTGAGAACCTAGTTCCTCATCAGGTCTGCTCTGCTATTGATTGATAGCAGGCAGTGGGTGCATTCCATAGCCAATAGCAGAATGGCTACTGGGTATGAAATACTCTCACTGTTGCTGTCAGTCATAAGGGAGGTGGGCCTGATGGGGGAACTAGTCTCTCTGCTTCAGCTTCTGTGCAGCCAATGGCGTCTTAGCAACCAGTGACTCATCCCTGCCCCCGATGCAGCTGATAAGAACACCAGGCTGCCAGTGTCCTAGCAACCAATGAAGGAGAAGCTGTCACATTCATGACAGCTTCTCAGTAGTACATACATGCCGCATTTTGAGCACTGGCGTCTCTCTGTATGCAGATTACAGTTGGTCTTAATTACCATCAGTTTCCTAATCTATAAACTAGTGGTAATTATTTTTTAATGCGTTATGGCCATAGCAAATGAGGTCCATACCACCAAAGGCACTAAGCCTTTCTTGAATTCCCCCAATATTACTACAGAAACTGTAGAACCAGTCATCTATTCATGTATTGTGTCTCAACTAATGTAAGATATATTTGCAAATAAGGCTATTATAGTGATAGTGGGGTTTTTATAACGCTGCAGGTAGTGAGATATAAATATCGATATAATGCAAGGCTGGTCTGTTCTTTAGTGTGATAAGGTTCGCTGCCAGCTCTATCAAAATGGCATATGTGGTAAATGAGATCCATTGTACATTATGTAAAATTATGTTTTTGGTTAACTTAAATGAACAGGCCTAAAAAAGCAATTAAGGAATAGAAGATCACCTAATATAGAAAATACAGTATAGTATTACTTTTACAGAAAGCTCAATGGATAGGTGTTCCTATCCAGCTGCGAAGAAGAGCACAGTGGAAGAGTCTGCGGGCAGTGGTTCCAGCAGATTCAGTAGATTGTTTCAAACAAGTCCTCTGCCATGAAGTAAATTAACATATTTATATAGTGCACAGTCTGCAGTGTTTGTTCTGTAAAGTCCTCTCTCAAAAACAGACATGCTGATCATTAAGTTTTTCTATCTAACAATGCAAGTTCCTGATTATCTTACATAAAACGGTTTAGTACAACATCTAAATTGCAAGACTCAAGGAAATGTAGAGGTGTTGCTGTCAGCCAGAAATCAAACATTTGCTGTTATATCCTGGCATGACAACTGAATTTGATTAGCTGCATCTGGTGAGCTATACCTTTACTTTACTTATCACGATTCAAAGTATAACCTGGAAAAGGCTTTATAGATTTCTAGTTACTCACCATACTACCCCCCACAGAAGTGGAAACATTGCTGTCCTTTATAGGGTATGCTGTCCCACAAAGCTGCAGAGAAAAGAGGTTGGGTACCCGTGTTTGCTTTACAAGAGAGTCAAAGAAAGGTTCCAGTGTGTCATCCGGCTACAAAAGCATAGAGAAAAGAACTTAAAGTATAAGAAAATCATGAATACAAAATAAATTAGGGAGCAAACTCTGCTAATGAACATTGTCCAAAATTCAGGAAAATTCAAGGAGGTTCCATGAGCCGTGTTAGCAGCAATGGAGAGACAAATTAACAACCACTAATGGTTGTAATGGTTTTGAAGACTTAAAAGAGAACTATGGGGTCAGTGCTTTTCCCCATAGTTCTCCTAACGGTCACGGTCCTCCCATGACCCAAAGCTAGGTATAACGCGAACTACAGCATTACTGTCGAGATCCACCCAGCTGCGTGATTGACAGATGGCTCTGCCTGCCTAGAGGCAGAGCCAGCTGTACCCGCCCCCTTCCCCGTCCGTTCCACCAGTCAGCGCTGGAGGATTGGACAGGGGAGGGGGGAATCCCTGCAGGGAGCAGTGAGTGGCAGTCGCAGCTCTCTGCAGGGACAGTATCGAGAAGTGAGCGAGCAACGGTATGTGTTCACTCACTTCCCGATCTATTGAGCCGACGTGTGACAGTTTCATTGTCACACGTCGGCTCGAACTATGAGGCTGAGTGATTTTTCACTCACCTCATAGTTCTCCTTTAATATTAGTTTTATGCTAAAACAAAGCAATTCTTCATACAGTATTACAGATTAGAAGATTTTTTTCTATTATTTGAACAAATGTATTGCTATCTAAACATAATTGTTCTAAGGTACGGCTGATTTTTAATAAAAGATTTTAGAACAAAGATCAGGCGTTCTCACGTTCCTACTCCTTAATGTGCAATTGTTAGGGAGGGCTTGTTCACACTACATACATACATGCATTAATTGCATGGTTCCTTGCGATTAATGCACACTACCATGCAAAGCACCTGTCATGCGCTAACAGTGCGGGGGGAGGTGCATTGCATTGCCATTCATTTGAATGGCACCCCAAACAGATCTCCTGCCGGCAATGCACTCGACAGCATCACAATGTGCGGTCCTGCATTACTGTGGGTTGCAGTGTGGTGGAAAAAAACTATTAATAGTTTGATGGGAGAGTTAAACACTTAAAGGGGAGAGTCTTGAAAGTGCTTGTGTACTTAAATTGGATCTACGCTGCCACTGAAATGATATAAAAACATATATTACTGTTTAGTTATAGCTTTGTAAAGTATTCTTATAGGCTTTTGTATAGAGTAGTATGCAGTAAATTTACTCACCCTTGCAATTTATAGAGTAAATTGACTTACCCTTGCAATTTCAGCATATGCAAGTCCCAGAATTCCTTCCCAGTTGGAACCATTGATGAAAAACTTGTCAGAGTCAGTGATGGCTGCAATATTTGCCACAACAGTAACATTAGGTCCATGTGGAATTGTAACCAAGTCTGTTCCCAATTCCCCTTCCCATTTTCCCTGAGTGTATGGAACATACACTCCTCTTCGGACATCTCTGTATGTTCTGGACCTACAAAACCATAATAGCAGAAGGAGAGTGAACAATTATTATTATTATTCAGGATTCATATAGTGCCAACAGTGTGTGCAGCACTTTACAAAATAAGAAAGACATTAAAGTTACAATACCAATCAAGACAAGATGGTAAGGAGGGCCCTACCCGTGAGAGATTTCCAATCTAGCAATTAGTATAAAGGTAGAAGGTACCTGATCACCTATGACAGTGGATTCTAAAATGTTCAGTATAGCTTTGCAATGTACGGGATTTAGGCAAATGTAGATGCATGGTACTTCTAGGCATTAAACGCAGCATTGGTAGAGCCAAAACCTTTCTGCTGGAAGTTTTCAGCAACTCTTTCACCGACTTCCACTCCGTTTCCCAAGGTCTACACATTCCACCACCTTCATGCCTTAATGGCGATCCTGGAACATACAGCATGCCACACTAAGTGAGCAGCTGCACACTTGGCTTTAATCAGCAAAGGATAAAGCAAACTTGTGCTTTGCCCATTCAGGGCAAAGCAACATCTTTGGTTATATGCGCCTCTACACAACAGCACATATTCACCTTTCATTTGCTTCTCCACTGCTCCATTTAGCTGCCAGGAGCAAAGACAGAAAGTTCTCTGTAAGCTCTGAGGCATACAAATTGGAACTGCGTCAAAAAAGAGCAATGACTACAAGTATTGCTTCAAAGATGTGAAGAATATTGATGCAGCATCCAGTGTTGATTCAAGGGAATTGTCAACTGAAATGATTACCCTACACTGGTAATCGGCCTTTCTAAATTCAATCTTAGAAGATCAGTCTTATCGAGGTTTTGCAGAAACTGAAAAGTAGGTAAGAAAGCAAAGGAAATTAGGTTCAAACTGTTCACACATGCACAAATGAGAGTGATAACCTCAAATGTATTTCAACAGGAAAAGCTTTCTGCACCATTTGTTTGTACTAAATAGATACTTGGATATGGTAGATATTATAGGATGTAAAAGGTACACACCTGTATCTATAAAATAAATAAACAGATCAAGTTTTGCATACTTAACACTATGGCTAACCCATTGCCAGGGCTCAGACCTTGTCTGTCTTGAACACTACTTTAAAGACTTTGGCACTTCACAGTCACCTGATGCCAACTGTTCTATTTTTCTTAATAGGTACAATGTTGTCTTTACAGACTAGGATAATTTCATGGAGAACACAAAATTCAAGTAGATAAAACAATTATCCCCAAATGCATGCTCCTTGGAAAGTTCAAGTTGCAATGAATAAAAAGACTTGCAAATGAGCTTGACAGGAAGCAACTGTAGGTGTGATCGTGAGCGTTCATGAGCCTAAAGAATGGGAAAATGCAATGAGTATGCTTGAAAAACAATTCACAGGTAAGCTTCAGATATGTTTGATCCTCAAATACTTAAAGAAAAACTCCAGGAATGTAAAAAGTTAACCCTTTCAGTGGGCCTATCCACATACCGCAGGGGTTAACTGCTTATTTTTCTCTAGGGGCTGAAATGCAGAAGATATGCTCACCTGATCCTCAGTCACGCAGTGGTCAGTGTTCGCCTCTCTCGCCTCTGCTCCGGCTGTGGAATGTCCATCAGAGTCCTTATATCCATTACAGATGATTAGTCTGCATTATTTGAGCTCTTAGACCAAAATGAGCAGTTAACCCTTGCCGTACGAGAGTAGCCCCACTGTAAGGGTTAACTTTTTACATTCCTGGAATTCCTCTTTAAATAAATTTCATAGAGGCATCATGTATCTTTGAATCAAAGCGTAATGACTTCCTGTCTGCTCAAAATTCCCCCTCCCCGTACTGTATTTGTTTTTTTTTAAAATAAAGCCCACAGGTTATCCTAACTGAGCTCGGTCAGATGTAATAATTGTCTCTACAAAAATGTGTGTATTAATTATCCCCATAAATGGCCCAGGGTACATAGTTTAATCCCTACTAGGGCTGTACATTTTATCACAAAAACTATGTCCACACCTCCACTGCACAGGCGCTGTCCATTCCGTTTACCGAGGGGATCTGTGCATGGATCAAAGCAGAACGGAACAAGCCTGTATGGACCTATGTTAGGTCTATGGTGAATTGGATGTAAGTGGACACATGCTCATTTACATCCAATTACCTCCCATTCGCCACGATCAGGTCCGCCAAAATGGAACTCTGGTGAGCACTCCAATTCTTGCGAGAATATGGGAGCGTCTTCTCTATGAGATTTGGAGTCCTCTACATTTCCCAGATCTCGCCAGAAGAAGGATGATGTCACTCTTGCCTAGACACCACAGCCTGAATATTAGGGAAAGGTAAGTATATCATCTAAACCCCCCCCCCCCCACACACACAGGATTTATTTGTAACCACTTGCCCTTTGGCTGTTGTAATTAAATGTGCAGGCAGCTCTTTACTCGCTTTAGGCCCCGTTCACATTGAGCGATTTATCGCGCGGTAATTCCCGCGATATCGCGGCTATTTACCGCGCGATATCGCTCTTCAATGCTTTGCAATGGGGCAAAGGGTCCTGCTGTCGTGGGGCGTGTGTCAGCAGGACCCTTTTTGTCGCGAATTTTGTCGCGATTCTCGCTTGCTCAATGCAAGCATTTGCGCGATATCACGCAAAATGCAAATCGCGCGGCAAACGCGCGATTTGCGAATCGCGCCGTGTGAATGGGGCCTTAAACATTTTTGCAGCCAGCGTTGGCTGTTTACATACAAGCGTTTGTGTGGCTATAGACTTCAACCCCCCCACCGCTGCCAACTATCACGGGCTCCGGGACCGACACAGTGGCCCTTTGCACTGAGATTGGAAGCAGATCAGCACACTTTCAGCAGCTCCCCTCCGATCATTGAACCCGGAAGTGAAGTTATTTCTCCGGTCGCTGTAGCTGGAGAAGAAGCTAGTGAAACACAATTGCTGCTTCATCAGCTTCTTTGGGGTCCCTAGGCGACATTAGGGGTCTAATAGACTCCTGATGTCTCCATAAAGAGAACCTGTCATTATATATGAGCTATCACATAGGGAGCATGTTAGTCCCCTATGTGATAGCAATAAAGTTAAGTGGAAAAAAAAGTTGAAAAAAAAGTTAAAGTCACATATAAAAAAAACAAAAAACACAATACACAACACATATAAACGCAAACACGCTTTGGGTGCACCTACCTGCGAAAACAACAATTGTGCCAAACACGTTACAAATCACCACAAACATCGGATTGTGAGCAATAATTCTAGGGTCATCAATCACTGTTAACCCTAAAGTGATAAGTGGTAAAAGGTTTTAAAATGTCCCCTATGAGAAATTTTGGGTATAGTCGTTTTTTTGCAATTTTAAGGGGCGCATGCAATTTTAAGGCTTGACATGTTTGGTTTCTATTTACCCGACGTGACCCCGTCTTTTATATTTTACCAAAAAAATGGCTAATAATAAATGCTTTTTCAAAAGTTTCGGTACTTTTTTCTTTATATAGTAAAAAATAAAAAATAAACAGTGGTGATTAAATACCACTACCACCTCTATCTGTCCCCAAACAATTATATAGTTTACATGGCTGAATAAATGTCAGTCAAAGTACAGCAGCGCTGAATACTGAAAAATGGCCTGGACAGGAAGGGTGTTTAACACCCCGGGCTTCAAGTGGTTAATTTTTATACTGCTCTTCTGCATGAGGGAAGGGGAACCATTTTACAAAGCGGATGTTGCATTTTAGGTCGGCTTTAATCCCACCATTGTGTATGTCGTGCTGCATTGGATAGAGCAAGTAAAATGGAGGTGTCATTCATCCAGCCTGCCCCATTGATGGACAGCATTTCGGGGGAGTTTTCCACATTTTGGCTATATATTGGAAGATTCCTTCATGGAATAATGTTTTTTTTTTAGAATAAATGATTTGTTTTCTCAGCAGACATGAACAGATAATAACAAGCTCACCAGATGCTGTTTGATCTGGTTTCCATAGTAACTAGTCCTCCATCTGTCTCTTCACCAGCTGAAAATTTTAACTGTTTAACCTCCTGACAGTCATATATTATTATGTCTCAAAAGCTGCCTTTAATATTTATATTGCCAATGCAAACAGAAGATCCTAACCATTTACTCAAGGATCACCATCAGACGTAGGGCTCATTCACATGGGACTTTTTACATCCAGCATTGGATTAATGCAGCAAGAATAAGTTCCAGACCACTGTTGGTCTTCATTCTGTATAAAACAATGACAGGCTGACAGGAACTGCAGCTGTCCACTGCTGTCAGACACTTTTTGCATATATACACACCTTAGTTATCTGCAGGTAGGGACAGATGACTAGCTCTGGACACAGACAGATTTCACCCAGGGCTAGTCGTCTGTCCATAGCCGCAGGTAACCAATAAATGTGCGGATACATGTGAATTGCAGCAGACACCTGCGGCTCCAGTCAGCCCGTCATTGCTTTGTGCAGGCTAAGCAGCCATAGCTGTCCGCAAACATCTGTGATCCCAGCCACAAGGATCCACTGCTGGCCCTGTGGAGGCCTAAGGACAATTTTTATTAGAAACATAAAGTTTGGTTTTCAATTGCTGCATGCTCATATCTGGCAGGCCATCATATTAGACAATTATATATTAATAATTAGATAATATTATACTGTATATAGTAATATCATTATAAAAATTAATATTACAAACAAATATAAAACCAGTAACACACAAAGATGGCTGTAGATTGTCACCACAGCACCTTCAAGCTGGAATAAAATCAATCATAAATAGTCATATTTACTTGAAGTATTTATTTTATCCTGCACAGATAAATGATTATAAGATGTACAATATAAAAAAAAAAGATTCAAACTGATTCTGTATTTTGTCTTTATGTAAAATCTTGTGTTAGAAAGGAACATTTGCAGTTGTCATTTTTGCCTTCTAGGTTATAATCAGAGACCAGCTTCCATTATCCGTATTTGTTGTACACGATGTCCAGGTGCGTTTAAAGGGTTTCTATGGTTATAATCCTATCCACCTTCCTGGCTCATTAAGCCGTATCAGAAGGTCGTCTTCCAGTGTTTGTTCTTTACAGAAGAACTTGATTTAGAATAAATGTGTACATGCACAGATGCTAGTCATTTACACTGGCCTTCACTATGTTCTTTATTTGCTGTTTTCCTCCAGGCTTTCCTCCACTGCCCACACACATGTCCTATTGCAGATTGTGAATTGGAAGTGCCACACTCCATGGCTACCAAATCATCTGCTAAGGAACAGTGGGGTCACAAGGGGGGTGCGGCCCTCACCCGGGTGACACCATTGGAGGGGTGACACCAAAATGACTGACAGTCATTTTGGTGTCACCCCCTCTGAAAAGTCGGGCACTCGGTCATAAAGTGACGGTGTGGTGTCACCTGGTATCCGCTCTGGGTGACACCCGGCCTCTGGACGCCTCTGCTAAGGAGCTCTATGCATTCTCACACACTGGACAAAATGGAATCAAATTTCGAGCGTTTACACATGTTCTTCCTTAGTAAGCCCTGATGAAGGTGGTATTCATATGAGATCCCAAAACACGTTGGCTATTTCTATGTTGTCCCCAGGGCCGGATTTCCCACAAGGCCACCAAGGCCTGGCCTCGGGGCAGCAGGGAGTAGAGGGGCAGCAGAGGTATGGAATTCCTATCGCCCGAGACATGCAATTTCGGCCGCCGGATGGGTTGTTTTTTCTACATTTAGTCCTGCTACTGGCAAGCAGCAGGGCTAAATGTAGAGCGGGGAAGCTGCGGCTCATTTTGTACAAGTGATCTTGGTGATGTCGAGATCACTTGTAATTAGCCTACTCGTCCATCCTCCCCTGCTACCCCTCCTCCATGGTCCGCCCCCACCTCTGGCTGCCTCTCCCTGCTGGTCACCTCCCTCCCCGTCATAGTTCAGGATGGATAGTGGGGTGTAGAGCAGAGAACGTCTTGTTAGCTCCTGTGTGACAGAAATAAGGTTAAGTGGAAAAAATTACATTGAAATGAACAAATTTAAAGATGATAAGAAATAATTTAAAAAGTGATTAAAAAAACGAAAAAAAAAACAAACAAAAAACTGCATGTCCTGGGCTCCGGGAGATAGGAATTCCACACCCCTGTTGCCCCTTTACTCCCTGCTGCCCCAAGGCCAGGCCTCAGTTGTCCTTGTGGGAAATCCGGCCCTGTTTACAGGGAATGAAAGTAATGGCAAATTCAGAATTTTTACTTTTCCACTGGAACAGGAAAAGCGGGGAAAGCTTTACATGTTGACGCTTGTTCTTGTGACAACTTGCTAAGAGTTAGTAAGGATTTACGTCACATTGGAAAGATATTCTCTCACTTCCTGTTGAGTCAACAGGAAGTGAAAGGAAATTTCCCTGATGAGGCACAGATCGCAAAACAAACTAACAGTGTAACTCTCTCCTACACTTTACAAAATAAAAACCCAAAAGTTTAAGGTTCTAATTCTTCCATCTTATTTCTTACCCATATAGTCACAAATGTGTGCTCAACCACATCCTGCATTTGCTCGCATTTTGAACTGTTGCAACCTGTAGCACCACTCTTAGGGGTCTAGTTATAAAGAAAAGTGCAAAGCTTATTCATCCAGTGTAAGAATGTGGCAAAAGCAAATGTTTTTTTTTTCTGGTCAAATGTTCTTCAGTAGATTTATCTATTTACAACAAAGTGAATCTGGAAAATACCACATAATGGTCACTAAACTGAGATGGTCTTTGTAAATAAATCTATTGAAGAACACTCAAGCAGAAGAGAAATCTCCCTAAAATCATTGATTTTGCCCCTTTCAGTCTCACTTGACGATAAACCGTGTGACTTTTTTTTATAAATAGACCCCTAAAGTAAATGTAAACTCTACCTGAATGAAGTTTAGTTGGCTATAACAATGTGTAACATAAATATTTGTCATGATTTGTAAAATAAAATACTCTTTTTATTTCTGATCTCCTGCAGCCCTTTGCAGACACTTCGTGTGTACATGTATGTGAAAATGCAGCATGTCATGGAGTGTACTGTCACAGATAATTCAGTGCGACCAAAAGCTTTGCCCCAAAAATTGCATTTATTCTTATGGCCCCTGTTCACACCTGAGAGTTTTGCCGCAATAGGCAAAGCGCCTGTCGATGGGAAAAAGTACACAAGCTTCTTTTTGGCAACTTACAGCTCATTTTGTCCCCTTAGAGTCAATAGGAAATGCTTGGAAACGAGCGTTGTAATTGGTTTTGCGCGTTTTTGCCATTTACGTCAGTGTGTCACAATCAGCTAAAAAAAACATGTGAAAACGCTGTTGCCTAGGTGTGAATCAGGCTTAAGGGTGGGTATACTCATAGCGACAACAAAGAAACATGCCTGTGCAATGCGCATGAGGCTTCTAAGGATGTACGCTGTTCAATGGACGCTTCTGCCTGCTACATAAAGCTCAGAACAGCAAATGATAGTCATTATACGGGGCAGACTAGAATGGGCATTTTATTCTCCAAAAATATCAGAGGGAACTTACAAAAACACTTTTGGAGATTCCTATGTGAAACTGTCAAGTTTGGGAACACTTGGCAAACATTTGCATTTTTTATGGCTGCAAACGACTGAGCTATGCGTTGACTGGGAGGAAGCGTGAATATGAGATGGCATAACTCACCTATGACGATGGTAGTATCTTTTCAAGAAGGGGTGAGGAGCTGCACCCACAGCAAAATTACTGCTTCCAGTGTCAACTAGAATATTAAGCTGTTAGGGAGACAAAAAAATAATAAAAACAACCTTGTAGTTTGAGGAAGATTTGGTTGATTAGTATACATACATACACACATACACACATACATATACATACATACATACATACACACACACATACATACATACATATACATACATATATACATACATACATACACACATACATATATACATACATACATACACACATACATTCATACATACAAGACATGCTGCAATTTCATAAATATTTGATTTCCTTATTCTTATCTTACTTTGTGTTGCACTTAAATGTATTTGCACTACAAAATCCACTGGGCCAAATTCTGTGTAACATAACCGTGATGCCCAGCTGTCAAGTGCCAAAGTATGAGTGGTAATATTTTTATATTTATATTAATATGTATTTTATTACAGGCAATTATAAGTAATGCTTGCTTGTGCACAGCCTCAAAATGTTTATTTACTGTCTTGATTTTGACTTAGAATAGCAGGCAGGTTTTCCCCCCAACGTATTTTCTAAAGCCTGCAAACTACAGCACTCCTTTTCTCTATTTAGTTTGCACCATTTTTCCTTCACTGAGTATGCAACAACCCAACAATTATTACAGCAATGCATCAGAGCACTTCTTGTCAAATCTGAACATTTACTGCATGGTAAAGGCAGGACTGTCCGTATAATGAGGCAGCCTGAGGTTGTTGCCTCAGGCAGCATGTTTTAGGGCAGGGATGGCCAAACTGCAGCCCTCCAGCTGTGGTGGAACTACGAATCCCATGAGGCTTTGCAAGATTCTCACAGCCACAGACATGACTCCAGGAGAGAGATGCTTCATGGGATTTGTAGCTTCACCACAGCTGGAAGGCCGGAGTTTGGCCATCAATGTTTTAGGGTCACATGGGGGGGGCAGTGTTCGTGCTGCCAAATTGGGATAACACCCATTTTATATTTGTTACATGTTCCCATTCAGTTCTCTTAAGCTAAAAAATAAATATTTAAAAAATGATTTTTGCCGTTGAATTTGCTTTTTACTTGCTAACATTTCTACATTGCTTTGCTTTCTTTGTACTGTTACGAGGGGCTGTGAAGGGTTTTTGTTAACCCTGTCTGCACAGTGCCAGGTCATTTCATTATAATTTGTAAAGTAGATTTGAACACTCCCTGTACTTACAAAGGGTTAAAGGGTTAAAAGCCTGGCTTCTGCACTGTATGTTAATGAGAGAAACACAATCCACACATTCCTGACCTCAGTCTTTTTATAAGGAAAGATTGCTGTGAAGGTTCTCAGGAAAACTTGCATTCAGCCATGTTGTCTGCTGCAACAAAACATCTAAAAGGTAAAATAGTGATATTTGACTCATACAGTGCCTTGTGAAAGTATTCACGCCCATCCCGTGTGTTTTTCCTGTTTTATTGCACTACAAACTGGAAATAAATTGGATTTTTTAGGGGGTTTGTACCATGTGATGAACCTGCCTAAGACTTGGTGCAAAAAATATATTTTTTTGTGACACTAATAATAATACTTAATAAGACATTAATTAAGACAATACAACAGAAATCCTGAGTGTGCATAAGTATTCACACTTAAAAGTCTTGCAAAGTCAATATTTTATTAAGCCACCATTTTCTGCAATTACAGCTGCAAGTCTCTTGGGGTATGTCTCTATTAGCTTAGCACATCTATTAGCTTAGCAAGTGAAACTAAGCCCTTGCATCTTAAAAATGCATTCAAGTACCCTAATTATTAACAAAAATATATCTTATTTGTGCATCACACAGCTGTAGATCCTCAAATCATCTCTGAATTGATGCTGACACTGTCCTTCCTTCTGGAGGATGGCTACTTTTGTTCCCCATGGTCCCTGTGTGTGTTGTAAAGTAGCCACCGCTCCAAGCTCACTCCAGCGATGGATTACAAAATCAAAACAAATTAGTAAACTAAACATGAGATTGGAGCAGGACCATGGGGAACAAAGTAGCCACCCTCCAGAAGAAAGGACAGTGTCAGCATGAATTCAGACATGATTTGAGGATCTACAGCTGAGTGATACGCAAGGTACAGTATTGTTATGGTACTTGAAAGCATTTTTAAGATTTAACTCTTGAAATTAGTGTCACTTTAAACTCTACCATGTGACATCACAGCTAGCTCCGCCCAACTGTTTACATTTGTCCGGAACCTGTCGCTGTCTTCCCGCAGGTCCTGGACAAATCAAAGCAACTGGGCGGAGCCAGCCATTATGTCACAGCTGGCTCGGCCCAGTTGTTGTCATTAAATGACAGCTCAGCACCCTCAGATTATTTGAGGACGCTAGGCTGTTGTTGAACGACAACAACTGGGCGGAGCCAGCCATGGCATCACGACTGGCTCTGCCCAGTTGTTTACATTTGCAGGGAGAATGGTCAGCTTCAGCAGACCGTTCTCCCTACTTCGGCTGTGACTTTGGCTTCAACTGAGTCGAAGCATATGCATTGGGCCTGGCTGAGCCGCTTGACTGTCCCCGGCTGCTGTATGGGCTCCGGGGGCAGAAGTAAGCCAAAAGATTAGCCAAAGCTTCAGCTCAACCCTTCAGCTCCTTTGTGAATAACCCTCTAGGAGTTTTTACTGCATGAGTTTCAACACCACCACATGCTTCTTAGGACCATTCATGTTCAGAGCCTTGGCTATTCTACCGAGTCTGCACAGATGTTATTGTAATGCCTCCAGGTCTGCCAGTACTGCTAATGGTGTTCACAGAATTCCTGCCAATAATTCCAAGTGTCCCTTAAACAATGCTGTGTGTATCCCCTAACTCAAGGTGTATTTAAGCACCAGCCCTGGAAGTGGCTGGGTCTTCTTACCAATGACCTTGCTTTGGCAAAAGAACCATAATACTTTACATATTACTTGTTTTGTTGTTGACCTGGATGGACTTGACCACTCCTGCCTGCCTCTGCCTGGACCTGATTATTCACCTGAACCTGACCATTCTGCTGCCTTGCCTGTTGCCGACCTCTGCCTGGACCTGACCATTCTCTAGTCTCTCCCTGTTGTACCATCTCCACATTGTAGCCTCCTAGTCCTGGTAGGGTGCTCATGAGGACCACAATCTGGTACCAGCACACATCGAAACCCATCTCCACCATCAGCAGCTCATCCAGTTGTGAAGACATGCTCATCGGTTTATGGGTTATGTGTGTGTTATTGTTGGGTTATATTTAAGTATGTTATACAGGGTAACCTGTTTATCAAAAGACTGTCATCACTACCCCCGTTAGCTCTCTTTGTACTCCCAAGGAGCTCAGGACAATGACATTCTCCTGCTGGTGCATCTTGCTGGGCCCCTGCTATGGCTGTCTGGAGCTCTTTAGCAGCTAGACCCCTGCGGGGTTGTGGAGTCAGAATGTCTGGGGAGGGTAGGGTGTACATGATGTGATTACCATCTTATCTGATCACTTTGTGTATAAAAGGTTGCACAGTTGCTCAATAAAGCAGAGTTTGTATCACCGTACAATTGGTTTTGGCTAGTGACTGGGTCGACTGGGAACTAATGATCATCGGGGGTGGGGGAGGGAGCATCTCCTCCTCAAGGAAGACTACAGCAGCGTCCTGAGTCGAGGAGTCCATCACACCAGGATCCTTACACTACCTACATGGTTTTTAATTCCTCAACATCCCTAGTAAGGGCCTGCTGTGCACTTGGGTATATGGCATGGTATTGGTCTTGATTAAAAGGGCATTATGTTATGTATGTTTTGCCATCTATGCAAAGAGATAAGCTTGTTTGTAAAAAAATCTTATCTGCTGGTAGATTACGAGACTGTTTCTTATTCACAGGTTTCGGGCAGCATTTTTTTCCAACTACTTTAAATTTAGAAAGTGTACCCACCCTTTTTACTGAAAACTGATAAACCAGGTCTATAATCTGGTTTTACCATAGCTGTAGGACCATGTGCATCTGCTTTGGTGATAGGTGTGTGTAAAAGAGGGAACACAGTTTAAAAGTAATTTAAATAAATGTAAAGATTAAAGGAATAAAGTTAGATCGGTAGACTGGAATATCTGTTATATGAAAATTAGCTCAATACTGGTAAGATTTTGAAATTGGCTGTTCAGTTTGTTTTAAAAAAATGCAAACCCTCATAGTTCAGCCATTACTAGACTAGCACAGGACATAACTGAAACAAATGGAACCAGTCAAACTTGTTTCATTTATGGTCGTTGATGCATAAATGTAAGTAGTCACCAGGCTTAAAACATTGGAGAATCATTGATTCTGAATCTGCTTTGTAATTTGGTGCCACACTGCCCACCGGTTCCCGATCCAGCTTGTCCTCAGATCCTGTACCCGCCTGTCTATTTGGATCTGGCATTGCCTTAATGTTGCTGAACCTGACCTGTTGCTGAGATCACTGTTGTCTGTAGCTGCCCTACCACCAACTCTCTGCCACTACCAGAACTTCCAGTACTCAGTACTATATGTCATCTTGCTGAAGTATATTCAAGTGGAGTTAGGGAAACACAAACAGCAATCTGATCAGAACTCAAAGTTGTAGGAATCGGTTTGCTAGAATCCTTGCAATGCATACAGTTTATCTAGTGCAGATTGTTTAACTTGACTTAGGCTTCACACCCATGCACAACTGATATACAGTTTAACGCAACACACATTAACACACAATCAGTGGTGCGATGTTTTGCACTGCCATTCATTTTCAATTTAAAACAAGTAATGGAGGCACCACCAAACGAAGAAGAGTTCAAAAGTTTTATTGGTAGAGATAAAACCATCAAAGTACCAACATGTTTCAGGAGTACAATTCAGAAGGGAATTCCTTAGGGAATGGACTAAAATGAAAGTTAAAATGATAGTGACGAGCATGTGTGCATAGCCCACCTGAGAGCCTGCATAGCCCATCTGAGAGTGCACATAGCACAACTGAGCGTGTGCATAGCCCACCTGAGAGTTCACACAATCACCTGAGAGTTTGCATAGCTACCTGAGAGTCCGCATAGCCCACCTGAAAGCCCACAGAGTCCACCTAAGAGCCTGCACAGCCCACCTGAGACCCTGGAGACATATGGGCTCCACCCCGGAACAATACAGAGTATGTACAGTAGCTTTATATTATTTTGTATTGCTGGGATTTATAGTCCTCTATAGCTGGTCTCCTTACTCCCTCTCATGGCTGTCTCTTCTTGCTCTCTCCTCTATATTCTAAAAAAATAAAATTGCCGCACACAGCACTAGAGTGTTCGGGTTTTACTTGAAGAAAAGGTGCCAACCCTACCTGAAGTAAATCTCCAGCCAAAGTTTTTTTTTGTTTTGTTTTAGTTTTGGATAGAGAGGAAAGGATTAGAACACTATCAGGTTTTTACTGCTATCTGGGGCACCCTTAGCTAGCGTTCACCTCTAGGCATTTTGTCGCTTAAAGCTAAGGGGTCTATTCACTAAGCTGCCATAGGCAGCAGAGTGAATGACCGACCTGAAGTGAAGTGAGCCAAACACTGTTCGGCTATTCACTTCAGGCTGGTACGGCTGATTTCAGCCGTACATCGGCTGAATTCAGCCGTACAACGGCTTGCTTCACATGGCTTCGGGTTGGCCGAACACGCTCAGCATGTTCGGCGGACCCGAAGTGCAGAAGGAGTTCGACTCAGCCGATCCAACATCTGGATCGGCTGAGCCGAACCTGCGGCAGGCTACTCACTGCTGTTCGGCCTATTCTAGATGCCGAACAGCAGTGAGTGAATAGCCAGCGGCATTCGGCTCGGCTGTTCTGCTCGGTCCCTCAGAGGTACAGCGCAGAACAGAAAAATAGTTTTGCTACGGCTAGATCCTTCGGCAGCTTCGTGAATAGACCCCTAAGTGTGACAAAACACTCAAGACAAGAAATCCTGTTCATTTCTATGGCCCTGTTCTGTTCATGCCTGAGTGTTTTCTTGCAGCAGAAAAATGACATAAACTACTTTTTGGCAGATTACAGCACTTTTTGGTCCCATGGACTTCAATGGGACACGCCTGGAAACACGTTTCAAGTGTGTGTGCGCATTTTGTCACATGTTTTGTCACACAAACTTTCCCATTAAAGTCTCTGGGACCAAAAAGCGCTGTAATCTGCCAAAAAGCAGCTCATGACTGCTTTAGATCACTGCCAATAAAACCCCTTTACAAGAAATTGCTCCCTATAGCCTTTTTAAAGCCCCATTCACACCAAGGGAACAGCATTTTTGTGCATATTATCACGTGTTTTTGCATGCATCGGATGCACATATGTTAGGTCATGCTTTTCAGCTGACAAATTGTGAGACATTAATGTAAGCCGACAAACACGTGAAAAATGGGGAAGAAACATGTATAAATGCTTGTGTCGTGCGTTTTCCAGGTGTTTCCATTGAAGTCTTAAATCTGCAGAAAAGTTGCTCATACACTTTTTCCAGGGAAAGGCATTGTCTGCAGACAACAAAGCACTCTTAATTAATTAATATTCCTCTCAGTCTGTGTGTCATGCACACAGACGCATTTAGGGGCATAAATTCAGTTTTTTTATGCCATGCTGGAATATACAGCTGGTGCGTACAGCCAGGGCCGGTTTACTCTCTCTGCTGCCCCAAGGCCAGGTTCCTCAATGCGCCCCCCCTACCCGCCAAACCCCCCCATGGAGAATGGCAGACCTGCAGGCTGCATACAAGTGATCTCAGCGACATCTCCGAGATCACTTGTACAAAACAAGCGGCGGCTTCCCCACTGTACATTTAGTTCTGCTTGCCCAAAGCATGGCTAAATGTAGAAAATTACCTGCCCGGCGCCCTGAACTGCAGGTCCCGGGCATCAGGAGATAGGAATTGCACACCCCTGCTGCCCCAAGGCCAGGCCTTGGTTGGCCTTGTGGGAAATCCGGCCCTGCGTACAGCTGCCCACAGACATGAATGACTGTGCGTGGCTGTACCCAGGTATATGCCTGTACTTGTGTAATCCTGCATATAACATGCGGATGTATTCCCCTAGTACAAATACTGTCATATACCTGCGTACAGCCATGCACAGCCATTCATGTGTATGGACAGCTGTATGCACCAGCCTTGTATCCCAGGTGCTGAGAAAATAAGGCCTTAAAGGCCAGAGCAAAAAAATACACATACAAGGAAAAATGAATAGAAACACAGAAAAAGTATTAAAGAAAAATCAAATAAAGTAGCTAGTAGAAAACTATTTTCCTTGACTTTACCTGTGTAAGCACCTAGGCACTGAGAACTAGCTGCTAGAGCTGGCTGCACAGTAACTACCAAGGGGCCACAGGTTGGGCACCAGGGCCCTGGACACTGCATTGGTCTCTGTTTTTTTCCCATGGATTTGATTACTGTTTTAACAGTCAGTGAATCTATGGTTGGCTGTCCAGGTATTACTCACCTTCACCAAACTTCTGGTTAGAAAGGGTACCTGTGTATCTTTCACTTCCCATCAAACTTCAGCACCAGTATGTGGATAGCTCACTAAACCTGGTTCTGAAAAACTTAACAACCATCCTATACATAGAAGAGCACACACCATCAGGTATCATCACATCCTTCCCATTTTACTAGCTAACCCCCCAGAGTGCTCATTGAACCCTATGTACACCATATATAAATACTGGTGCAGGCAGAAGGAAGCATTTGCTCAGTCTCCTCTCCAGCGATGAGAGTGACTGCAACATTGTCATTTTGTAGCAATTAGGTATGCACCGATATCGATACTAGTATCAGTACCGATACAGAGTATTTGGACCCCCTCCCATCCCAGAACTCGCGTCACGGCTTACTGATTAGTTAAGAAGCCAGGCTGCCTACCAACAAGTGAAGCTTGCTTCCTAGCCAATCAGGAAGCCATGTTTCCTGATTGGCTAGGAAGCTGGTTTCACTTGTTCCTAGGCAGCTTGACTTCCTGACCAATCAGGAGGCTTGGAGGCAGTTCATTACATGCCACCCGGCTTCCTTATTGGATAGGAAGCCAGGCTGCTTAGAAACACATGAAGCTGGCTTCCTAGCCAATCAGGAAGCGGGTCATAACCCACCGCCCGGCTTCCTGATTGTAAAGGAAGCCGCTCCATGCTCTCTCGGCACTGCTGTACAACAGGAGAACTCCCTCTGACCCGGAAGTTCCGGTATGGGGGGTAAGTATCGGAGCATTTGGACAAGTGCGAGTACTTGCCCAAATACTCGGTATCGGCACCGATACCGATACTAGTATCCCTAGTGCAAATCCATTTCATTGATAGTTGTCATTCAAACGACAACCGCATTTCCGATCCTGATGAAGGGGACCCTGTGCGGCCCCACACGTGCTTGTCGTTTGAATGACAACTATCAATAAAAATGGATGTTGCACTAACATGGAATCTGGACATCTGTATTGAAAGATAAGTACTATTGCACATAAAAAATGCCCCCACAAAACATGTCACAGGTTGCCTGTGACATGTTTTATGGGGGCATGTTTTATGTGCAATAGTACCCCCCCCCCCTTTTTCAATTGATATTTATTTTGATAACATTTTTTAAATACCTGTTTAGAAGTCCAGGTGAGAAGGACAGTCAGTCTGCCGGAGGATGATTTCTCCTTCGCTCTCCCCTCTCTCTCTCCCTGATTCCTCTCACTAACAGGAGAGAAACAGATAGAGGGGGAGTGATGACAGCGCCACCCGGCGCTCGCCACTGGCAGGCTGGATCTGGCCCACGGGCCGTAGTTTGAGGACCCTGCTCTAAACCATACCCAGGTGCGGTTAAGCATACCATGCCCGGGACCACTTGGAAGAGATGGTCTGGGGCACAGTTCACTTGGAGTCCACTTGGTAGGGTTCACTTCAGTGTGAGTGCCAACTGTGCCCAAGTACTGAGATGTCAGTGATCACGGAAGTGAATTCTGACCCTGGAAGCATAGACGTGCGCAGGGGGTGTACCGGGTGTGCCTGGGCACAATCTAATCACCCCAAGCACAACACCGAAACCGCAACAGCAGGCGCCATGTTTTTAGTCACTGAGCTGGTGGAGAGATCACAAAGATCTCTCTGTGACCGGCTCAGCGGTACAGAGCACAGAAGCACTTGCCACATTGCATACATTCCTCACATAACAGCCTCAGTCCTAAGTGCCTGGGAAGCTGCGAGGGAGCGGCAGCCAATCAGAAAGCCGTATGGGTGACCACCTGCCAGGCTACCTGCTTCAATACTGCACCCCTGCTGGAATAGGTAAGGGATTTTATGTAATATATACAGTATTTTTATATATACGTATAGGCGTGTGTGTTTGTGCCTTCTGAGCACACACTAATCCAACAGGCAGTGCATGCTTATGCCTGGATGATGCATAAACAAAGATGGTGCTGTCCTTCTGGAGATAAATGCATATAAAAGAATAGTCAGGGGGACCATTACAATTCTCTGAGATGTCAAGCGTTCTTTCTCTACAATACTAGGCATGCATGCACTTAACATGAACAAATGATCTGATGCTTGCTCCACTTTAAATACACAACATGGTAGAGTTATAAGGCGGCCACCTACTGTCTGGGGAGGAGTGCCCACTCTCATCTCCACATAATACCCTTGGCCGGACTTTCCTCTCAGATTGTCTTTCATGTCCATGAAGTTGGTATCTTGCCTTGTGTCCTCCTCTGCTGAGCGCTTGTCTCTGTTTGGCTGAACTGCTCCAGGGCCTGGAAAATTTTTCAGAGGCACTTTGATGGCCCCCAGCCCAGAAACTGGCACGAGGCTGGGTAGAAGCATCAGCAGGAGGCTGCCTTTCCTTGCAAAAGCCAAAAGCTCCATGTTCTAAGCTGCCAGGGTCCCTCCCTCTTTGCTGAGGGCTCGGCAAGACAATGGCCAAGACAGGTACTCCTTTGTCAAAGCAACTTGAGAAGCTCCATATCAGCTGTGTGGAAGGAGCCGTCCCTGGAGAGGATGAAGGATGCTCTAGCCTACAGGCCAGCAGGGAGGAGGAGCAGGCTAAGAGCTGTCATGCAGGAGGTTGGGGACTTTCCTCCTGTAGCCCCTCTTTCACCATGGCAGTGGGGTGCCCCACTCCTCCTCTCCTGGTGCCAGGCTCAGGTGTCTCCCCTTCCTAGGCTGGATGCTGAGTTGCGGAGGATGAGAGAGGCTGTGATGCTGGGAGCAGGAGGAGAAGGAGGAGAAGGAGGAGGAGGGGTGGTGGTGGGGGGAATCCTGCTGCTCCATGGGAGATGTAGTTCCATTGGTGACTCAGACATCCTGCCATCATCCTCTCATATACCGTAATGTGATGATTCTCACTGAACGGAGGGAAGATGATCCAATGCAAGCTGTGGATGTTCCAGCATGCATCACATGTAAGCTTACAAAAAATCCTGATTGTCAAATACATTGAGGGGAATTAGCAAAACTGGAGCAGACAGAATCTGGAGCAGTTGCCCATGGCAACCAATCAGCATCCACCTTTCATTTTCAATCCTTAACTGTGAAGAGAGAAGCTGATTGGTTGCCATAGGCAACTGCTACAGATTCTTCTGTTCCAGTTTTGATAAATTCTCCCCGTTATATCATCGGGGTCATAAAGTCTGCTACAGTTACACCACAACACCCAGGAAGACTGCGCAGGATTTACACCTAGGCATGCCGGGAACGCGTGTCACGTTCGTGTGCATTTGTGTGCATTTCTTCCCACATTTGCTGTGTGTCCCCATTTCTTCGAATGGGTCCCGCTCATGTTATAAATGCAGGAAAGTAGCTCATGTAGCAGATTTGCGGGGGAAAACGCACGTTTCCCTGGTCGCATTTGGGTTTCTGTTAACAAATAATGGCATTACAAGCAAGTATTTAACAAGTAACAGCACCGCAAGCGCATTACACCTTTTTGATGCATTCCGTGACCGTGCATCAAAACGCATGCTTGACGCGCGTTTGCCACATGTTCACGGAATGACTAGGTGCGAACGGGGACTTAGGGCCCATTCCCACCCAATGCATTTTTAGCTCATTAGAAATATAGATGCACAAAGAGTTGTGTTTTTTTTCAATTATGTTGTTCACACCAATGCGTTGCGTTTTTAAAAAAACCCAGAGCATGCTACATTTTCTTGCACTGCAACGCATGTAAATGCATTTATTTTAATAGTAGGAGTGATGGCACCTCCTAAGACACATGTAGATGCATTTGCATTTTACATGCTTTTTTCAAAATGTAGAGTAATCGTACCTCCTAAAAACAAAATGCGTATAAATGCATGTGCATTTTAGATGCATTTTTTAAATGTGGTTTTGGTATAAATGGGCCTTTAATAGTAGGAGTAAAGGTACCTAAAAAAACCATGCACACACATGCATGTGCATTTAACATTTTTTTAAATGAGGTTTTAGTGGAAAGGGCCCTTATACCGGTAGTTGGAGTGACAGTACCTCCTAAAAAACACACGCAAAAGAACATGCGTTTTCATGCATTTTTGGTGGGAATGGGCCCTTAATGGCCGGAGTGATGATATCTCCTAAAAGGTAAAAATGCATGTAAACTCGTGTAAACGCATGTGCATTTTACATGTGTTTTGATGTGGTTTTAGTGGGAATGGGCCCTTTTTATATCATCTTCACCTTTCTTTACTTCACCTGGTAATCCTACAAATGACACACTTCCTGTCCCTGGCTGGCTACAGTCACTATGGAGGGAGCTATGGTTGTCACACTGGGATGATCTGGTTTTGGATTACAGACGGATCTCCCTCTCTTCACCTGTAGTATGGGTTGTGGGGTCATTTGTAGTTTACAGAAGTAACGCACTGCCCCTCGTCCAATCAGAGAAGGACTGGTATTCATGCATAAAAATGGTAGGCCTTCGCTGAATGGCCGCTGTGCTGAACGAGTGACCCACTGTGTTTAAAGGAGAACTATGGGGTGAGGGCTTTTCCCCATAGTTCTCCTAAGGGTAACGGGAGGACACAAACTAGCGTCCTCCCGTTACCCTAAGCTCAGTATACCGCGAGCTACAACTTGCCGTATACTGAGACGCCGAAGCCGGAGCGGATCCCGACAATTATTTCTGGATCCGCCCAGCTGCGTGAGTGACAGCTGGCTCTGCCTATCTAGAGGCAGAGCCAGCTGTATCCACCCCTCCCCGTCCGTTCCGCCAGTCAGCGCTGGCGGATCGGAGCGGGGAGGGGGGAATCCAGCCCCTGTCATGGCAGAGAGCCGTGACAGGATCGAGAGGTGAGCGAACGCCGGTATGTGTTCGCTCACCTCCCGATCTACTGAGCCGGCCTGTGACAGTCTCATTGTCACAGGTCGGCAAGAACTATGAGGTGAGTGAAAAGCACTCGCCTCATAGTTCTCCTTTAACAGAATCTGCTCAGTACAGGACCCGGGAGATGGCTGTTGAGCACTGTAGGGGCTGTGGCTACAACAGTGTTTTACAGGGTCCCTGTGGCCCTGCCAGGTATATAATATACTGTATATAAGTACACTGGGCTAATGTAGGTTCATAGAAATATTTATACCTGGAGGTCAGCTTTGAACATCCGCACTCAAACTTCAAGTGCATGTAGATCCCAACTGTCAACTCTTCCTTGCTCCCTTTTGGTCTGCCCTTAGAAAGGCTCTTTTTATATATCTGTTCCATAAGTGCAAAATAATAGCAGCTGATCCTGCCAGAAATCATGTGAGATGATAACGTCCTGTGTTCCGTGTTGTATCTTATCTTTGTGCCCATTCCTGTCTGTGGACTATAGCACCCCTCCCCATTATGTTATAAGGAAGGAGAGAGATATGTTGTAGTCCTAATATACTTCCTGTCCAAGGGTGACAACAGAGCTTCTCTAAGCCTTGGTTCACACCTAGGCATTTCTGAGCAGTTCGAAAAGCGATTTTAATTGCCCAACACAAGAAATCCCAGGATTTTCAATGTCCCTGGTTCACACCTGAGCAGGAAAACGCCAGACGCCTGAAAAGATACCGGGGCTTCTTAGGGCAGTTAAAAGCGCCTTTCCTCCCCATAGACTTCATTGGAAATGCCCAAAAACATTTTCCAGAGCGTTTTATACGTTTATACGCACGCTCTTCCATTGCCCACAATGGTTTATAAGCTGCCAGTTAAAACGCGCATACAAATGTGCACAACCCACATAACCGCCTGCTGTTAACGCACGAATGAACGCACAAAAACGGTGCCACCTAGGTCTGAACCAGGACTAACGACACAATACAGCATGTGAGTATTGTTAGCCTATAGACCAGGATGTGTGCTACTAGCAGGTTAAAAAGCAATCCCATCGCTGTGACAGTATGAAGCAATCCCACCTCTATCTTAGTAAGTAGCAGTCCCAACCCTGTCATAGTAAGTAGCAGTCCAACCCTGTGACAGTATGAAGCAATCCCACCTCTATCTTAGTAAGTAGCAGTCCCATCGCTGTGACAGTATGAAGCAATCCCACCTCTATCTTAGCAAGTAGCAGTCCCAACCCTGTCATAGTAAGTAGCAGTCCAACCCTGTGACAGTATGAAGCAATCCCACCTCTATCTTAGTAAGTAGCAGTCCCATCCCTGTGATAGTATGAAGCGATCCCATCTCTATCTTAGTAAGTAGCAGTTCCATCCCTGTGACAGTGTGAAGCAATCCCACCTCTTTCTTAGTAAGTAGCAGTCCCATCCCTGTGACAGTATGAAGCGATCCCATCTCTATCTTAGTAAGTAGCAGTCCCATCCCTGTGACAGTGTGAAGCAATCCCACCTCTATCTTAGCAAGTAGCAGTCCCAACCCTGTGATAGTAAGTAGCAGTCCCATCCCTGTGACAGTATGAAGCAACCCCACCTCTATCTTAGTAAGTAGCAGTCCCATCCCTGTGATAGTAAGTAGCAGTCCCATCCCTGTGACAGTATGAAGCAATCCCACCTCTATCTTAGCAAGTAGCACCCCCATCCCTGTGATAATAAGTAGCACTCCCATCCCTGTGATAGTACCGTAAGGTGCACTCCCATCCCTGTGATAGTAAGTAGCACTCCCATCCCTGTGATAGTAAGTAGCACTCCCATCCCTGTGATAGTAAGTAGCACTCCCATCCCTGTGATAATAAGTAGCACTCCCATCCCTGTGATAGTAAGTAGCACTCCCATCCCTGTGATATTAAGTACCCAGATAGCAAGGATAACTTGCTACAAACTTGTGGCAGGGTTAAATTGTAATTCTTGTTAACTTGCTGCACACATTGCCTGGCAAGTTGTAGACTTGCAGAACACGCGCAGCACAAGTTCTAGAGTTCACATTGGTCGCACGACTTTTGTATGTCGAGCATGTTGGAAAACCAGCCGAGAACCGTACGATTTTCGGCTGGTTTTTAACATGATCGAGAGATGACTGCTGAACGGGTTGCCCATTCAGCATTGCAGTCATCGGAAGCCCGCTCCTTAGGGGGGCGGGCTTGCGATGATCAAGAGTGCGATCTGCCTGTCCAAGATGGGCAGATCGTACGTTTTTTTAATCACTTTACAACCATCGCAAGACTAAGGTCTTGCAATGGTTGTACAGTGTATGGGCACCTTTAGCAAGAGCTCTGCAAGTGTACAGCACTTTTGCAAAGCATGGTGATCTGGAGACTTGCAATGCAGACTTGCTGTAATTGTGCAACACTCTTGTGAAGCTTGGCAAGTCTGTAATAGTTTAGCAAGTCATTTTATAACTTGCAGCTCAATTGCTTGCTATCTGGGTAGCAGTCCCATCCCTGTGACAGTAAGTAGCAGTCCCATCCCTGTGGTTGTAAGTAGCACTCCCATCCTTATGATACTCTCCCATGTCTTCAGCGCACTGATTACAGCCAGACTACATCTCCCGACAGGCAGCATGTGCGGTGACGTCACGACTCCTTTTTTTATGGACGATGCGGGTGGTGAGCCAATCAGAGCCGGTTCTGCACCCTGTGATGGTGTGTTGGCCGCGGAAGGGGGCGGGTCCGGAAGTGGTTACAGTTGCTATTGCGGAGCAACGCAGGAAGCGTCCCTGGAAGCAGAGCTGCTGGTGCAAAGCTACAGGAGGGTGAGTGTACCGTACTGTGACAGTGTGCCGGCTGGTCAGTGTACAGTGCCGTGTCCGTGTAGAATGTACAATGTGGGGTCAGTGTACACAGCACGGTGTCAGGGTACAGGCTGGTCGGTGTAGAACGTACAGTACGATCTGGGGGCACAGACTGGTAGGTGTAGAATGTGCAGGCTGGTCAGTGTACAGTATGGTGTAGGGCTACAGGCAGTTCGGTGTAGAATGTACAGTACAATTTGGGGATACAAGCTGGTCGGTGTACAATGTACAGCACAATTTGGGCTTACAGATTGGTCGGTGTAGAATGTACAGTACAATTTGGGGGCACAGGTTGTTAGGTGTACAATGTACACTACAATTTAGGGGTGCAGGCTGGTCAGTGTACAGTATGGTGTAGGGGTACCGGCAGGTCGGTGTAGAATGTACAGTACAATGTCGGGGTACAGGTTGGTCGGTGTAGAATGTACAGTATGATTTTTAGGGTTTAAGCAGGTCGGTGTAGAATGTACAGTATGATTTTAGGGTACAGTCTGGTCGGTGTAGAATGTACAGTATGATTTTAGGGTACAGGTTGGTTGGTGTAGAATGTACAGTACAATGTCAGGGTACAGGCTGGTCGGTGTAGAATGTACAGTATGATTTTGGGGTACAGGCTGGTCAGTGTAGAATGTACAGTATGATGTCAGGGTACCGGCTGGTTGGTGTAGAATGTACAGTATGATTTTGGGGTACAGGCTGGTTGGTGTAGAATGTACAGTACAATGTCAGGGTACAGGCTGGTCGGTGTAGAATGTACAGTATGATGTCAGGGTACAGGCTGGCCGGTGTAGAATGTACAGTATGATTTTGGGGTACAGGCTGGTTGGTGTAGAATGTACAGTACAATGTCAGGGTACAGGCTGGTCGGTGTATATTGCAGAGTGGAGCAATAGGCCTATGTTGTGTCATCTGAGAGTCAGCTGTGGCCTCATATAGATCAGAGTGTTCTTCTCTCTCCTCCATGATCTTCATGTGCACTTTCCCATCACAAGCCGACCTGCTCCCTGTCATCTGTTCTTTTACATTTTGTTTTTTTACTCTCAATAAAAATGTTTTTTATTTTATAAATAAACACTTAATAATAAACATGTATAGCTTTAAGTTGATGTTTATATCTGTTCTCACTATTATCTACAATCCTTATTTCACAAATAAACATTTCATACATGAGAATAGTTTTCCTGAGCTTTGTTGGTTACCTACAGAGACTTCAGGGTTTGCATTGCAGCGTTATTTGTCTGTTCAAGACAGATTGTGTATAGTGCGGGGGACAGGAGTGGGTATTCCAGAGAGTGCAGGGCTCAGGAGTACATAATACACAGAGGAGGGAATTTATCATAGCAGTTTTGAGTGTGGTCACATGGGATATATTTGCGCCAGATTTATGTTCCTAGTGTAATGTTCATAAATGAGATTAAATAGACTCCAGGAAAGAAGACTTGCAACTCCAGGCAAAAAGCCTAACTGTTTTTTCTTGAAGAAGTGGTCATGGGGGACGTCTTAAGTAGCGATTGTAAAGTGCAGATGTAAACAGTTGCAAACTTTCTCAAAACACGCACAATTGAAAAAATAGCGCAAGCTCGGGTCAATACATGTTAAAAGGAGCGTCTAAACAGATTTGCACATAGCTACAGCTCGCGGTATACAGAGACGCCGCAGCTGAAACCGATCCCGACAATTATGTCTGGATCCGCCCAGCTGCGTGAGTGACAGCTGGCTCTGCCTATCTAGAGGCAGAGCCAGCTGTACCCGCCCCCTCCCCCGTCCGTTCCGCCAGTCAGCGCTGGAGGATCGGACAGGGGAGGGGGGAATCCAGTCCCTCACCTGTCACGGCTCTCTGCAGTGACAGGATCGAGAAGTGAGCGAGCGCCGGTATATGCTCGCTCACTTCCCGATCTACTGAGCCGACCTGTGACAGTTTCATTGTCACAGGTCGGCTAGAACTATGAGGTGAGTGAAAATCACCCACCTCATAATTCTCCTTTAACCCTGCTGAAGCTCTGACTGCATTGACGTCTAACTAACACAGGGATTGTCACTTTGCTCTAGTGGGTGAATGGGTCAGTTGGGGAGTGAAGGGAAGGTAAGCATAAAAAGAGGAGAGCATGCAATTAGGCGTACCTGTGTTTGCTCTGTAGTAGAAAAGCACAGTTCACTAAAGTTCTCTTTAAAGTATTTCTTTTTTATTCATTAAAGATTGAAATCTCTATACCGGGGTAGTCAAATGTTGGCCCTCCAGCAGTGGTGAAACTGCAAATCCCATCATGCATCTGCCTCTAGAAGTAATACTTGTGACTGTTTTGCAATGCCTTATGGGATTTGTAGTTTCACCACATCTGGAGGACCTAGGTTTGGCTACCCCTTCTCTAAACCAATACATCTTACACATTAGTCATCTGTGAGCACTTTTACATACCTCTATCATACTAGCAGAAACTTTCTTTTAATAATCTCCCTCTAGCATGTGGATACAAATGCAGTGGCGTAACAACCGGGGGGGGCAGCAGGGGCGCGGGCCCCGGGCGAAAAGTGAAGGGGGAGCGCCGGCCGAAAATGGCACTTTCGGCTAAATGCCGAAAGTGACATTTTCCTGCCGTTTTGTCGGCGCGGCCGTGATTCCTTTCATCCCCGCTGGGACACAGAGCAGTGCCCAGCAGGGATGAAAGGAATCAGAGAGAAAATGACAGCCGGCCGAGCGCTGCGGGACGAGCGCTGTGAGCGGCCGGTGTCTTTCCTCCCACACCGCTCGGCCGCCTATCACAGTGCAGCAGAGCGGTGTGGGGGCGGAGACAGCCAGCGCTGTCACAGGAGGCTGGGCTCTCCTCTTGCAGCCTCCTATGACAGTGTGTGTCAGAGAGGAGAACGGGTACAAGCACTCAGCGATCAGTGATCGCTGAGTGTTTGTACATAATTGAGGACCTGGTATGTATACTATATCCTCAATTATGAATGAATGGGAGTGATCTACATCTCCTCCTGTTCATTCATAATTGTAGTTATAGTAAACATACCATGTTATCAATGAACAGGAACACTCATAAAGGATTCCTGTTCATTGATAACAGGGGACACAGAAAAAGAGATTGAGGACTCTGTGTCCTCAATCTCTTTTTCTATTTTTAAAGGGAAATATCAGGGGTCTGTTTAGACCCCCAATATTTCCCCGAAGCCCCTAAAAGTAAAGTAAAAAATAAAAATATTTAATAAAAAATTAATCAATAAATAAAAATTAATTTAAAAAAATGAAAAAGTTTCTAACAAAATAAAGTATTAAAATTTGAAAAATTAAAATAAAAACGTGTGTGTGGGGGGGAGGTGCAGGGTACAGTTCCAGTGGTTGTTTATATAAGGTGGGGGCGAAAAAGAATTTCTGCCCCGGGCGCCCAGAACTCTGGTTACGCCACTGTACAAATGTCTCCCTCTAGCATGTGGATACAAGCGTTTTCTCATACCGTGTACTTGCATACAGATAAATAAGAAGAGTTTAATATAAAGGAAAGTTATGTTTTGATTGAATAATGAGTTGGTAAAGAGGCCAGGGAGTCCAGGGTGGGCTATAAAGTATATAAATCATGGTAGGTTATGCTCTGATTTATTTTATATGTTGCTCTTAAAATTGTTCTCTTTCAGGTTTCGGTTTCTCATCCCACAAAATGTTGGCTGTGCCCAGTGGCCGGATGGGGGACCAGTTGATCCTAGAGGAGGATCATGATGAAAACTACTTACCTCAAGAGCACGGTAGTTTATAATTTACAGTATATGTATTTGTAAGGTGTATTAGATGAAGTCCAGACACACAGCTAATTATAGATAAAAGACGTATATGGGAGCGGTTTTATTTGCAAAGTTTTTGTATTCTTGTCAATTCAGACCTGACATCTACAAAACCCTGCCAGACAGCACTGCCAGGTTGATGACCAGGCTTTTCTCTACTGCAGTTAAGCAATAAAGCTAGATCACCTCCCCGCCCCCCAGCCCGTGATTGGACAATCAAGGAACAGTAGCAGCAGCTCATCCAGTTACTCAATTGGCTATCTTCTCTTTCCAGCATGTTTTTGATTGAGCTAATCCGCATGCAACCCACCTGATTGGCTCCTAATTCTGCTCCTCCTTCCAGTCTGAGCACTTCTGTACAGGGGTTAACATGAGGCTGATCCCAAGTCTTCTTTAGATACTTCAAACTCATTTACCATTTAAAATAATAAAGTGAACCTATTGTGAAATGAATGGTCTACTTTACTGACAGCCCTCTGGCAGCAGATAGCTTAAAAAAGCATGACATTTAACATTTTACAAAATGTAAAAAAAAAATGTAGCTCTGGTTTCTATTATGTCCGGGAGGTGCAGTTGATGTCGCCAAGCTTCAGGGCTTGTTCACACCATGTCCGGATCATATCTAGACCAGAACAGTTTGTTCCTGGACCAAAAAAGCATCTCTAGATTATTTGCGAACAACATTTTTTTTATTGTGCACATGTCTATCAAGCAACTTGCAAAAAAAAAAGAGGACATATTGGTCCTTGGTCCTTTTTTTCATTTCTGGATTTCTGGTTGCTTGAATGCCGGATAATGTGGAGTTTACTGTATTTTAAATCCATGAAACTAATTTAAAATGTCTAATATGATACGTAACTTTTTTAAAGAATTTTTGGAAAGTAATTTTATGAATTTTTTTTTTTTCGTTTTGGCCTGACAAATTCTGCTGCGGAATGTGTAATGTGGTGCCATTAATTTTAATGGTACCCCAAACGCACCTCCCACCCACAGTGTGATTGCCCGCACTGGAACGCACGGTACCACGAAGCCGTACGATTACAAATAATTGTGCATGCAGTTTTATTCTGAAAATAACTTTGTTTGTAAAACTCCATTTGTGTAATTTAAATAAAAGATGGTATTTAAAAAAAAAATCTTATTAGATTAGAGCTTTGCAGTTCCCGGCTGGCTTTTGCCATATTGATGACCTTATGATAAAGTAGAGATGCACCGATACCGGTTTTTGGTACCAGTACCGATATTTTATTTTTTTGGTACTTGCCGATAACGATACTGAAAATCCCATTAAGGAAGCCAGGTGGCGTGTAATGACTTCCCGCCAGGCTTCCCAATTAGCCAGAAAGCCGGGCGGCGTGTAATGACTTCCCGCCAGGGTTTCCGATTAGCCAGGAAGCTGTCTCCTTGCTAACCCATTGCCAGGTAATGAGGAAGCACGGAGCCGGCTTTCTGGCCAATCAGGAAGCTGGGTGGCGAGTCATTACATGCCACCCGGCTTCCTGATTGGCCGCGAAGCCGGCTCCATGCTTCCTCGTCACCAGATTTCCCAGCCAATCATGAAGCTGGGCGGAATGTAATGACTTGCCGCCCAGCTTCCTGATACCAGAAGTTCAAGTGTCAGGATAAGCATCAGGAGCAATACTCGGTATCGGCCGGTGGTTCCCCAATGATAAAGCATCTCCAAGTGAATCCAAACATTTATTATAGTGCAGCCTACAGTCCTTAGATGTGGTGGCTGCATTAGTTTTGAGGCTTTTTTCCCTTATTGTCCCCTGGTGATCCTGCGCATAACAACGCTTCCTGATCTAGGGTGACTACCGTCACTCATTGTACTGTATTTAAGGAGATAGCGTAGTTGCCTCTAAGGCTGTTCTTCAAACATGTCTGTCCTTGTTCACCTCCATTACAAGGAGGATGTTCGCATTACTGGTTTACAGTACAAAGATAAGATTGTTTTGCTTTAAGTGCAGCTTACAAAAAGTGACAAGAATTCTGCATTTCTGGCAAGACCAACATGTATTATTCTGTAATTGCTGAAAATGTTCTTCGCCTGAAAAATCTGGTAAGCTGCAGTATATTAAGTTTTTTGTTTTGTTTTGGGGTTTCATGATCATTTAAACCTTGCATTCCACAAAAGTACTCACATCATTTCCTCTGTGAAGCCTGGTACTGGGCAAACCTTTGTATGCACATCTTATCTGGTACCATCTTAATTGTGAGGGGCATTGCATGGGCAGGGTTTAATGTCTTCCCTCCTAGTAAGAAATCTTTTCTCAAGTAAATTCTGCCCTGTCTAAATTTTTCACAATTACAGCTACCTGTTTCGTATTTTAGAATTGTTTTATGCAGGATAAGTAATATCAGTGTAATTGTTAATGACATTTTCCTCCACAGTACAATACTGTACTAAAGTCTTCTTTTGTTGTATTCTTCAGAAATTCAAGAATATGCGAGAATGATTGGGATCAATCCAGACACAGAAACTGAGCTTATGTGGTTGGCTCGGGAGGGCATTGTTGCTCCCTTACCACCAGACTGGAAGCCTTGGTAAGCAAACATCTACAAAATTCCAAGTTAATATGATTGTCATTACAGTAGCAAAAAGGTTCCCCCTGCTCCTTTGTCACATTGATGCTGATTTTGGTATTCCGTATGAAGTTTGTTTGTTGCACACTGAGGTTCATGATCTGTTTGTTTTATATAGTGTACTCCTAAACTTGAGGGGTTTCTTGTGAAGTCTGAATGCTCCTCATAATACATAATTTGGATAAACCCAAGCCTACATCTGGTGAAACAAATGTGTGATTGCTCCATCTGTAACTGCAGAGTTCTATCCATAATGTACAATCCTGTTGATCTGGTAAATCTATTTTGAGTTCAGTTAAACGTTTTAATGACTAATATTAGCTTAACCTAATTGCAATTTCAACCACTTCTAGCCAAGCTTCTATAATAAACTTCTAGTCAACAGATCAGGAAAAGATAACAGTTGGTATTGTTGTATGTTTATGATAAATATGATGGCAGTACGTGTTGGCCTACTCCAGTTGTTTTTAGTAGTCATTTGTGCTTTGGAAAGTGTTTCCCAGGCATTGTTCAAAATCTTTTATATTTGTAGAAATCTGTTAGCACTGATTGTAACTAAATGAATTCGTGTATGCAAGCTGTGACATTGGGGTGGTTAGCACAAATGGTGAGCACTTAAGGAACAGTCTTGAAGCCGTTTTAAACATAAACAGGACAATCATTTATTTAATTCAGCAACAGAAAACAAAGCTTCAACGATAATACAAGGTCTGCTTGTATTTCAGCAAAACTGAAGGTTTGACAATCTCACCACCCCAGGTTGTTGCACATACTCCTTGTGTCCCAGTCCCTGGACAATAAGGTATTACCTCTCGTGGCACTCTTAAAACACATCCCTCATGTGCCACTGGCTCTCTGTCTCCTCGGCTGTCTTCTAGGTGCCTCCAGCACACACAGCCACCTGGCTCCCCTCTGACGTCTGGGTGGAGTCCTCCTGACTCCTGAACACCTCTGTTCCTCTTCCCAGCTGGAGCCCTGAACACACTCCAGCTCCCTCCTCATGAGGGATGCACACAGGTGCACAATCAGGTGCTGGCTGCCACTAAAGCATAGACCCAGGAATGGAGATTTCATCCCACGCAGAGCTCTAAGAAATCTCCTGGCTCCAGGATCCCAACTATGATCCAGAAAACCTGGAAAGGACTGAGAAGCCAGCTCTTTCCTGGTACAAGCAATTGCTTCCTGGAGCCACTCAGCCCCTCTGGCTGAGAATCCTGGGTGACTTTTAGGCCACTAACACCGTGGTATTGCCACGCAATGCCACAAAGCCTAGAATTACTGTTAGGCAGACAGCTTGTTTCTTTAGGCAGTAGAGACAAAGAGGCAGCTTTTTCCTTTTTATAATTAGCATACATTTAAAGTAGTTCACAATTTTCATGTATAATAGAACTTTAGTGACCATGTTCTTTATATTTATTGGTCTTAATAACAGCACAACCCAGGAGCAGTATACATACATACATACATACATACATATTGTTGTATACATATTGTTGTATACATGTTGTGACAATGAGCCCCAGAAAGCATTGGCTATGGTCTATGATGGCACATACTTACCTCTCAGGTCGTGTCTAGCCTATCTTAGTTTTAGGGGTTTTCTGTTACAGAGAGCATTGCAGTCTCTAGTTTAACTGCCTTTCATACCCACAGTGCTGTATTTGTTATACCCTGGGTGCTTTGTATCTCCTGTTACTTGAGATTGCATGCATTGCTTACATGTTGGATACTTTGTGTCCTTCATACATATTTTACCATGTACTGTTGTGAAAAAGCTATAAAGAACTAATTAACAAAAAACAGGCAGAGCCCAGTGGTTTTGCCGGACCCAGCCCCGGCGTGGGAAGAAACTTTGGGGTGACTGCCCTAAAACAATGCTTGGTGAGTAGACTGCTCTTTTATTTGCTCACTGTAGAAGTGTAGAGCAGAGTGGTACTTTAGGACTACAGTGTTGGTTGCTGGATCTGATGGTGAAGGAGTGGGAACTGATCCACCAATGAGCTGATGGCGAGGGGCACTAAATTGTGGAGGTTTAGGGATTATTTCCCCTTTTGCTCCATTTTAATCAGGTATTGGGTACAGCTTACAAGCTTAAACCTGCGCGTTCTACGCTCGACGAACGCTGTACAAAACGCTCAAACATCTAAATCCCAATGTATTCAATGGGTCTGGTTCACACCTTGGCGTATTTCAGCCCATCATTACGCGCTACAAAACGGCCCACCCCTGAAAAGGTACATGTACTACTTTGGGCCGTTTTTGTTGCGCGTTTCCATTGGGATACAGCCAAGTAACCCTCGGAAACACGCGTTTGTCGCGAGATTTTTTACCGCGAATCGCGGTAAAAAAATTGCGCGACAACCGCGCCACAGACGCGCATATGCACTACGCCCAGGTGTGAACCAGGCCTTAGTCTTATCAGTGATTGATGGCCCTAAAATAATTGCTCTCACAGCGACGGTCGCTTCAATATGTAACATGTGTAGCGCAATTGTCATTTTCGCGCGCTGGCGCATTTGACGCATATTTACGTTTATATGTGCGTAAACGAAGGGGGGGGGAACTTAAACATTGGGGGGGGTTACTTTTTTTATTTGTGACTTTTATTTTTTTTAACTTTTTTTGTTTGTGACTTATTTTTTTTTACTTTTTTTATTTATATAGACTTTTTTTTTACACTTATTGTTATTGCTATTACATAGGGGGATACCATCCCCCTATATAATAGCACAGGTACACTGACAGGTCCTCTTTATGGAGACATTAGGGGTCTCTAGACCCCTAATGTCACCTGGAGACCCCAAAAGAAGCTGATGAAGCACAGATTTGCTTCATCAGCTTCTTCTCTCTGGCAGTAGGAGCCAGATGACTGACAGGTGAATGCGGAAGTGATGTAATACACATCACTTCTGCATTCACAATACAGAGGGAGATCAGCAAGGAGCTGATCTCCCTCCCTCCTCCTCCTGACGCCCTCCCGAGCCAGTCCCAGGCCGCAGATGGGCTAGCGGATCCCGGGATTAAAGGTGAGGGGTCAGGAGGGGGGAGATGGCGGCACTCGCGATTGGGGGGGGGTGCTCCGAAATTCACGCCATACAACCGATTGGCGGCTATAGAGCCGCCGATCGTTTGTATGTGAAAGAGCTGTTAACGGCTGTAGTAACGAGCGGGTCTTTCCTGCCCGTGCTAGCGCGCGAGCAGGAAAAAAATGCCGCCTGGAGACGGCAACCCGCTGATGCGAGTCTGCCGTCCGTCCGTTTTTTCTTAACGGGCGGACGGCAAGAGGTTAAAGAGTCTCCAAATATAAAAAAAATGGCTTAATAACATGAAAAATATGTGACGTTCTCAGTCTGGTAACTAAAAGCCACCTAGTCAAGAAGACAAAAAAAGAATCTATCTTATATGTACAGTGCCATTACTTCATCAGCCACACCGTGAGTGAAACTTTAGGTTGGGATTTGTTGGTATCAAAAAGAAAATGTACAAAAATGTTGAACTGTGTTTTGTTTAAACTGTCTTTTATTGGAGCAATCAAACTATCTGTGTTAGCTAAAGCAAAACCAAAGCTTTGAATGTGATGTACTGAATGTAGAATTTCACTTCACTTTCACCCATATGCACAGCTGAATCTGTAAGCACCAGTATAGTAACTGAGAAAATGATCTCGTACCTTGGAAATCTAACAAGATATGACATCTGATGTTACTTTACATATTGCCTTTTCTGCAGGTGGATTTTTTTTGTTCCTATTAATGCCTATCTTTTTTTAGAATCAAAAGTTTTTGTATATAAGTGTATAAAACACTTATGGAAGAGCATCAACAAAAGAGCTTAGCAAGCAGTATGGTAGTGGATGTTACATACAATATCACTAGCGCATGGGTAGTATAGCACATAGATGTAATGTGCAAGTGATTACATACAGATGATGTGAATCGTCACTCCTGGAAGTGCCAGGTCGTCATGCGGGATATGTAGAGGTGTGGAGACCATAGTAGGGCAACAGGCCCTATGGAAGGGGCAACTCTCTGTAAAGTCGTTGTTTCCGTGACAATCCCACATGTTGATGCTTGACATAAAGAACATCTACAAATAATGTAAATTAAGCTCAAGGGGGAGGGGGCGGGGGGGGGGGCAACTGTAAGGAAATGGTAAAAGAGAGAGAGGAGGAGAAGAGAGCAGGAAAGGGTAAAGAGACCAAGAAGGATGAAGAAAAGAGGAGGGGCTAAAGCCTGAGAAGGCTACCATCAAATGAATGCAACTGTAGGTAGTGGATCCATGGGTGCCACGTTTGTTCAAAACGCGCAACTCTGGATTCTAGACTAGCTGTGATGCGTTCATTAATAAAGGTCTTAATGCTTATTTTTATTTACCTTTTACTATTATTTATTGTTTTACATGAACTCATATGTTTATACTAATCTAGCATTCCTACTTCTTTCAGCCAGGATGTTACAGGCGATATCTATTACTTCAACTTTGCAACTGGCCAGTCCACATGGGACCATCCCATAGATGAGCATTATAGAGAACTTGTTATACAGGAGCGTGACAAGCTGCAGGGTCAAGGTGCGGGAAAGAAGAGGGAGAAAAAGAAAAAAAAAGAAAAGAAAAAAGATAAGAAACCAAAGGATATTCCCAAACCCGTATTGGTAAGCCATGGACTGGCACAGTTACTTGTATAAGGCATACAAGCCAAATTCTAATAAGGAGCTGTCTGTTTCCAGGCTGAATACATGAGGTAATCCTAAAGTTACAGCTCCACAAGAGGCTGTAGAGGGCCGCCATATGTTATAAACTTGCAGTAACCACACAAATCTGCAGTATCATTTTTGAGGTTTAATTGGTGACAGATGTAACTGAAATACCAGCAAAATGATGCTGGGTTTGTTTTTTTTTTTGTTATCGATTTCATTTTATGCCACAGATGTTTTGTAAAAATAGCAACTGCCCTAAACCCACCTGTTGAGTGGGCTCCAGTGCCATCAAGCTGGACTGGCCACACTTGTCCTAAGAACCACTTGCCAGGTCACTTTTAGGGAAAACAGGTTCTCAAAGGAAGCATGAAATTCCACTTTACACTTTAGGTAACCATTTGCAATTTGGATCCCACTTCTGAGGTCACAATGGTTATGGAATGAGATTCTCCACCCTCTTTGATGTTAGTAGCCTACTAAAGTAGAACTATACCTCCTTATTAGGTGCTATCCCATTTTGAAAGTGTCAGATGAGACATGATTCCTACTTAAACCTCTGCAGCAATAAAAGCAGGATCTTAGTTAGGATCTAGCCAGGAATGGGGAGCTGAAACTCTCTCTGAGCTTGGACTTCCTATTGGGCCCCTTTACCTGAGATGGCTAAGTGAATAATAAGATCTAGATTGCCACATCACCTGCAGAACAAATTTCTTATTATTTGCTCATCTTGAGCAAGGACACACATTGCTGGCCATTAATAATATGAAGTGAAAAGGACACTAACATGTCAGTGTTGCTGGAAGACACTTGTACACCTCCAGGCTTACACTATCCGGGTGTATGTGTCCCTCTGCTCTCCTCCTTTGTGTTTTATGCTTCCTTTCATCAGCCAGATTCCCACTTTGTACTGCTTTGCTCTTATCCTGAATTGTCCCCTACTGTAGCTCCTTCTTCTTCTCCATGTATTCTGTTTGCTGATATCCTCAATGAATTTTGTTTTTACACTTCAGTACACACACGTCACACTTTTAGCAAACTGTTTTGCATTAACAACAGGCAATATTGGTTTGCATATTTTGCAATGCATTTTCTTTTCAAGCTGGCTAACTGCTAACTTCAAAGTGATCCCTCTCTGTCCAGTCCCTACTCTACCGGAGAAATGGCAGATACGTGAATGTATGTCAATGTAAAGTGATATGATACAGTTGGAAGAGAGCTGTAGTACCACATCTGATCATTGATGGAAGAAATAAACAGTATATTGTCCATTGAGGGACACAGTTTTGAAGAATTCTGAGACGTACGGTTATGCTGCTTCCTCTAGGAGAAATAATGGACACTAGGCAAACAAATTAAAAGCCTGTCACTTTAGGGACATAACCACTCCCACCTCACAACCGCCAGTTTCGCTTAGTGTCCTAAGGAGAATAGATGTCTCCTTCTCTTCTGCTTTATTATTTTAGTTTATTTTATCTTTTCAACTTCGTGTAGATCAGTGTTTAGCTCTAAGTACCATGAAGGGTCAGACATCTGCCTTGTCGGTCCTTTTTCTACTACATCCTCTTGCTTCTAATTGCTTAACTGATCCTTTTAATTAGGGAGTTACTTGTGTAGCTCCTCCTGTTAGTTCTCCTTTTGAATACAAATCAAATCAACTAAACGTGAGATTGTAGTCTATCATGGGAATGAGCTTGGAGTGTTGGCTACTTTACAACACACACGGGAACCATAACAAAAGTAGTCGCCCTTCGGAAGGAAGGACAATATCAGAACGAATTCAGAGATTTGAGGATCTACAGCCTAGTGATGCACAAATAAGCTACATTTTTGTTAACTTACGTACTTGAATGCATTTTTAAGATTTAAGTTAAGATTTAAGATAGTTTGGTGTCACTTTAAGTGTACTTTTGACAGTTAATTTTTTGTCGAGCTAATGCTTTAGTTGTGGTGGTGCCCGCCCCTCTGTTTGGACTGCTTTTGAACTTCCATATGTCTCAGAATTCTTCAGAGCTGTGTCCCTCAATGGATGATAGAGAAAATAGGATTTTCTTCATAAAGCAACGGACTTTTAATTTGTTTGCCTAGTGTCCATTTCTCCTAAAAGCATTTTGAACACAGACATGTAGGGGCGCATTGGCTACCTGTGCCTTATTTCTGGAGTGCCCTTTCTAAACAGCACTCCTGAAACACATGTCCACCTCCCCAACATTTTTTTAAAAGTTAAGAAGCTGATTAAACGAACCTGTCATAGGCGAAACATGATTGTTGCCATTGTTCACCTCCTCCTGAAAACGGTAGTTGTCTGGCTGTCTCTGGTTTTACTACTGTCTCTGGTTTTAGTTCCATATCCAAAGTAAGTATTCAGCAAGTAAAATCAAACCAGCCAATATTTTTCTTGCTTTGTGCATTTAATGAAGCCTGGGCCTGCATCAGTGGCATAAGATACAAGCCAGGTCTCCCAACCACTACTTAATCTACCTATGCACTTAGAGACATGTTAGGGTCACTATGTGTTTGTGTGTATTAATATATGACACACACACCATATATTCTGACAAGAAAAAAATGGTATGAAAAATTGCAAAATATGGACACATTATATTTTGTAATTTTTACATACCGTTTGTTTCTTACCAGTAATGAATTGTATGTTTTTTTTTCATGACAGTCTCTCGGATCTCCACTTGGGCCTGTGCAGGGACCAATAGGAGGTCTAGCTCCTCTGCGGGCACTGGGTGATTCTACTGGAAGCTCTGGAGTTATGCGAGGATCTCAGGGCAGCAGTACAGGAAGCTCTGGCGAATTTGACAATCTTTTGGGTGGAACATCTGGTGTAAGTAACAACAGAACTATTTATACAAGTGGTGACTTGTCCCATCCTTTGCTACATTATTAAGCTTATGGTGGAATGTTGTAATTATGGACTAAGTCCATACTTACGACATATGTTTCTTTTTTTGTCAATATTGCTATACATTCTTTTAGATGCATTTGTTTTTCTGTATATTCTCTTCTGCAGTATAGAACATTTGCCTTTTATACACAGTTTGCATTTTGAATTAATCTGGAAATCCAGTATGCAATCTGCTGACTATTTCCTTTTACAAAACAAACTGTGAATATCAGAGCTAAATAATTATGTTTAAAATAGAGACAAAGAAAAGAAACCTTGTATTGTTTCTTACACATTTTGCTTTATGTAAGTTCCCTCACCAATGACTCTGCCTAATATGTAAAGGGAACCCCATTTATCTGCAGGACCTGCTAATGAAGGAAGCTAATGGGATCTTCAGGAGGATTTTATGCAGTGTTGGTTGAGCGGACCAATATTTGATCTCCTGCTCGTTTTTTATTGTTGGGTGAGAGTCTGGCCCCTTTTTTGTTTCTTTATTGTAAACCTTTACTCAAAATTAAACTTTTAAAAGTAAACTTCCTGCCCAAGAACAAACATCACAAGATGCCCTGCCATCCATACCATCTGTAGGAGTACCTCCCTGGCATAGGGAGGAATTGGGGTGCAGTAGGTGGATGGCCCAAGCAAGATTGTTTTCATGCACTGGATGTGTGATGCCAGGTAGGGCCGCATAGTAAAGATCTCCATAGCAAGGCTGCAGGCTTAATTTTTTATTTTTTTTCAAGAATACATTTTTATTCGTTTCATTACATGCAATTCCATAAATTGCATAATAATAACAATAGCATCTACATTTAACAGCTATCTCATATCTAAAATTGCTTATTTAATTATAAGTGGGCAAAGATAAAATAGGCTGCAGGCTTAATTATGTAACCAATAAAGTTGGTCTGTAAATGCCAGCTTTTCTAAAAGTGAAATTATTATTCATTTATGTAAATCTACAAAATTCTGTACAGTCTTTGTACTCTTTCTTAAAGGAAAAAAGTGCTTTGCTTTTATTATTATTAAATTATTATTATAGTCATTATTTTTATTACTCATCTTTTTTTACATACCACTAGAAAACAGCATCGTACATCAAGACAGCCACAGGAAGACACTCAGAGGAAAGAGTGAGTCTCACTCTACCTGGTTTGGCAGAGGAGGATGAAAATGGTGATCAAGAAAGTGAAGATCAGGTGAGCATAAGCCAATGGGCTTGACTAAATCGAAGCTCATTGTGTGTTCAGTTTTATTAAATGATACACTAATAAAGGATTTTTGTGTTGTTTATAATTATATATAATCATTATAAAAATGTTTGATCAGATATGGATAAATCACGGTATCCTGGTCACAGTGGTGCATAGAAAATGTGGCTGAATTCATAAATAAATAGTTACTTCGGAAGAATGATTGTGACAGGCTCACCAGTAAAATTGCAGTGCAATGTGTTATATGCACTCCACTTGAAAATATGAATAGTCATTTGTCTTGATTGAAAGAGAGACAACTCCAAACAGTAGAAGAAACAAAATTGAGGAGGAGGAGGAGAGATCCGACTAAGTGTAGTATTTTATCGTGCAAAGCCATAGATACGTAATACGTATCACCAGGAGCGTGATACTTCCATAGGTTGCGAGAAATCCCCTTGTGTATATCGGGCAACCTGAGGTGCAAAAAAGGCGCAGAGGCAATATTTCTGTCACCATGCAGGATGGTCCCTTTCGATGCTCGTCGGGGTTTAGTTCGGATAATCCAAAGCTCGGCAGCTAGAGGGACCCGATTTGTACTAAAGAGGTGAGACAAGAATGTACAAAAAAAACACGTAGGTGCAAGACAGCAGAGGTGCCCAGATGGAAGAAATTAAATGATCATGTTTCTTCAAATTAGACTTTTATTCCATGAAACACACATATAACTATCACAATGCGTTTCGAGGCTCTAAGATGGCCACTTCTTCAGGAGGGTGTGATGAGAAACTTTAAGTAGAGTGGTAGGGTCTCCTGGCGTGTGTGAAGAAATGAAAGAAACACGATCATTTCATTTCTTCCATCTGGGCACCTCTGCTGTCTCGCACCTACGTTTTTTTGGGGCATTCTTGTCTCATCTCTCCATTCGTCCTGATTATCCAGTAAAGTCATGCTGCATTGGCAGTTGTAAATACAATGACCAATACTCTGCAGTACAGCCTAAACATTAGAGACAAGAGGAGCAAAAACCAGGTTTCTGTATGGTGTTTTCTTCCTTCCCTCTTAGTGCTGGATGGAACATAGCTTCCAGGTAGGTAGACTCTGATGTTTCTCTATTTTTTGAAGTATAAAACTGCAATGACAACTCAAAATATGTGCTCGCTGAAAATATAATATACTTTTCCCTTAGGGATGCATCGATACTAGTATCGGTATCGGTGCCGATACAGAGTATTTGGTTGAGTACTCGTAGTACTTGCACAAATGCTCCGATACCTTCCCCGATACCGGAACTTCCGGTCAGAGGAAAATTTCCTCTGACTGGCAGTGCTGTAGGGGAACAGGGAGTGGGTCTCCTGGGCAAATAGAAAGCCGAGTGGCGAGTAATAACCCGCCTCCCTGCTTCCTGATTGGCCAGAAAGCCCTCTCCATGCTGATTGGCTGGGAAGCCGGTGTGCCTGGCCAATTTGCATCGAGCCGGCCGAACAGCCAGATCAATGCAGATTGGCTGGGAAGCCAGCTTTCCAGCGAATCAGGGAGGCAGCTCATTACATGCCGCCCAGCTTCCTGATTGGCCCAGAAGCCGGCTCTGTGGTGTTTGGCTGGGAATCACAATTGCAGGTTCCTGGCCAATCACAATCGAGCCGGCCAAACAATAAGGTGCTGGCTTCCCGGGCAATCGGGAAGCTGGGCAGCATGACATTACATGCCACCCAGCTTCCTGATTGCCTGGGAAGCCGGCTCCATGCCAGCGGAAGCACCGGTATCGGTACTAGGTATCGGCAAGTACCGAAAGCAAAATATCAGTACTTGATACAGAAAAACTGGTATCGGTGCATCCCTACTTTCCCTTTTATATATCAGTTGTAATCAACTGATCACATATGGACTGCTTCCTGTGCTGATAGTGATTTTACAATAGAATAAGTTTCTTCCCAAGAGCCAACCCACTGCTTGAATTTGGGCTGAGTACTCTTGAGAGAAGTACTGAAGCAGGATGTTGTAAAGTTTTTAGGAAGCTATGTACAGCACCCTGCCAGCCCCTCCCACCATCCATGATCTGCCTACATTGCATAGCACAAAGACCTAATGATGTTATCACTGGGTCTAAAATAATGTATGTAATGGAAACAAAAAGAAAGATTTTATTTAATAAATGTATTAGAATGTTGATGAAGAGGGAAAGGAGCAACCAGGGAAGGCAAAATATAAGCAAATTGAACTCCAGCTTTAAAAAACAATCAATACAAACTTGTAGTATTTAATAAACTACATAATTCACCTAAATTAAACAAAATCTAAACAGTTTACTACAGTGTGATTTGTTAAAAAAAAACCCCAAAAAACTGATATGGTTGCAAAAATGAATGGATCTAATAGATGGTGTAATGCTAGATCAAAACTCTAGATGTCACTTGTGACAAAGTGTGATACCAGAATTTATTTTTCAGTGTCTTAAGCATCATGTGGCACTGTATACAGTTTTTGGTAAAGTGTGGTAGCTTATGATCATACAGTGTGAGTAGAATAGTAAAAGTTGTGTCTATTTCAATGGGTGCAAGCTACTGAGTAGGCTGCAGGTGAGAAGCATTATTGAAGGGGGGTGCATGCAGCCTATTGCACATGTTGCACAATATCATAGGTTAATTTGCTAAATTATAGGTAGGCACCATCTGGAATACTAGGATAAAGAGAGAGGTACAACTAAGGGTAGAATGGACTAACCTGTATGTGGGTACAACCTGCAACACTAGGATAAAGAGAGAGGTACAACTAAGGGTAGAATGGACTAACCTGTATGTGGGTACAACCTGGAACACTAGGATAAAGAGAGAGGTACAACTAAGGGTAGAATGGACTAACTTGTATGTGGGTACAACCTGGAACACTAGGATAAAGAGAGAGGTAAAACTAAGGGTAGAATGGACTACCTTGTATGTGGGTACAACCTGCAACACTAGGATAAAGTGATGTACAGATATAGTAGAATGCCACAGTAGACTGCAGTGGACAAAATTTGACCAGTTTCATAAGATGCATCAATGTAGATTTTGCTGCTAAGGTGGAAAGCAAGTAGGGCAAAATACATAAAAGCAAAAGACTCACCACTCCAATTCAACCAGACTGCAGATCAATACAGACATTGGGTGCAGGCTGCAGTGTGCTCCCACTTGTCAAACAATATCTCTCCAATCAGCCGCACGAACCCGAGGTCCATAAAAATCCAACTTCATTGTTGTAAATTCCATGCAAAGTTCAAAATGCAAGGTATACTCCACCATAGTATCTCTCACATGTTTCACCACCTGGGCTTAATCATAACGTATGATTAAGCCCAGGTGGTGAAACGCATGAGAGGGCCTGGAGTGGGAGAGATACTATGGTGGAGTATACCTTGTATTTTGAACTTTGCATGGAATTTACAACAATAAAGTTGGATTTTTATGGACCTCGGTTTTTTGCGGCTGATTGGGCAGATAGTGTCAAACACATATGATTTGTAATGTGGTATTTTGTATCTTGCAAAACATCTGGCTTCTGACTTTTGGCCATAGCTATCTATAGCGGGCCTTTTTGAGGAATTCTGTGTTGGTACCAACAACTACATTACCATTTTTTTTTCTTCCCCTGTAGAGCCCACGGGGGTCTGCTCGTCTTCTTAAAAACTTGCATATGGACATCGGATCTCTGGGAGGCGGCTTTGAATATGAGGTAAGAAAATGTTTTTCGTCTTGTTTTAATATGGCCCTTACTTATAGCTTTTGGAACATAGTATTATGACTAATCTTAGTGTCTTTGTTCGGACCATGTAAGTAAAGTAAGTGTCTCATAAAGAAGGCCATGGAGATATATTTTTTTCCATATAATTCTTAGTATTCCGAACACCAGTGTTAACACACAAATGGTTACCCATAGACTAGCGTTCTTTCCATAGGGGTTTACAGTCTTCTTTAAGTTATTACGAGTATGTCTAACAAGGATCCTTATTGGGCATAATACAGATTTATTTTGTCTGGCTAGTCATCCCTGTACCATACTTATCAGCCTTAACATTATGACCACCCACCTAATATTGAGTAGGTGTCATGATCCAGAGCACCCCCAGGTGGCGCTGGAGCCAGGTCCTGCAGTTCCTGTGCTCGCCTGCGGGTGTCTCCAGCAGCCAGGGACTGTAAGGAACCTGCAGCTCCGGTACTCACCTGCGGGTGTGCCCCAGCTGTGACTGATCATCCCATCACCTGGTGCTTCCTGGGAGGGTATTTAGGCCCTACCTGCAGTCAGGAAGCTGGCTCAGTATTGCGTCGCCTGCACTTGACTGATTCCCATAAACCTGAACCCTGCTTCCTATCTGCAGACCTGTCACCGACCCGGCTTGTTACCCGACCACTCTCTTGGATCCCGTTCATGTACCGTGCTGCTGCCCTCCTGTTAACGACCCGGCTTGTACCTGACCACTCTTCTTTTATCCTGAGGCCTGCCATATATCTGCAGGCCTGTTACCCCTCCTTGTTGCTTCCCCCTGGCTGTAGGTGTGTGTTTGTCCCAACGGTGGGTTTATTACTTCACTGCTAAACCTGTGGGGGGTTGAGGGGGTTTGTAGTTTTGTTGTTGTGTAGCAAATAAACTGTGTGCATAGAACCCTATCCTGTGTGGGCATATTAATTTGGTCATCCTGCGTGGGTACCTGCATGTGGTGTGAGGACGCCTGTGCACAGAACCCTGACAGTAGGTCCCCTTTTGCTGCCAAAACAGCCCTGACCTGTCGAGGCATGGGCTCTACTAGACCTCTGAAGGTATGCAGTGGTATCTGGAACCAAGCTTTCATTAGCAGATTCTTTAAGCCCTGTAAATTGTGAGGTGGGGCATCCATGGATTGGGCTTGTTTTTCCAGCACACCCCACAGATGCTTGATTACATTGAAATCCTGAGAATTTGGAGGCCAAGTCAACACCTCAAACTCGTTATGTTCTTCAAACCATTCTTCAACCATTTTTGCAGTGTGGCAGTGCACATTATCCTGCTGAAAGGGTATACTTGGGCAGCAACAATGTTTTTAGGTAGGTGGTATGTGTCGAAGTAACATCCACATGAATGGCAGGACCCAAGCTTTCCAAGCAGAACATTATCCAAAGCATCATAATGCCTCCTCCGGCTTGCTCTCTTCATATAGTACATCTTGGTGCAAAGTTGCAGAAAGATGTGCTCATCAGTGTGCTGCATGTCTTTTCACTCTCCAGCAGTGACGTGCGGTACCTCTTGCTCGGGTTGAGGCATTCCCCAGCCCTGCCCCTGCCGAATGATGCCCCGCCCCTTGTCGGTCGAAGCCCCGCTGGACGAAGCCCCACCCCCAACCCGTCCCCAAGCTGGTGTAAAGGATGAAGGGAGGAGACAGGGAGGAGCTTCACTGTCCCTCACTTGCGCCTTACTGCTAAGGCTCCGTGACAGGTTACACAGCGGGGAGGATTTTCCTGCTGTGTAACCTGTTAGATGCCGATGTAAATGGAGAAAAGGCTGTCAGCTTCAGACATGAAGCTGACAGCTTTTCCCTCCATAATTCTAGGTGATGCTCTGCCTCACCTGCCTCCCCTGACCGCACGTCCCTGTTCTCCAGTCACAGGCTGGGTAAGGGACCTGACCTGTAAGAGTAACTTAGCTGCAGCAGATAAAGATTATGTCTCCTACCCTGCCAGACAGGGCTGTGTAAATCTCGGGACTGGATAGACAGAATAACAAATCCTTTGTCAGTTAAAACGGCTCCGGTTTGTGTATCTCATCTGTGTATGTGGCTGTTTACCTAAAGTTCAACTTTAAATGTAGGTAGAAGCCACCTTGTAGCACATTGGAACACAAGCTTTATAATGTTAGTTGACGTTTTTGTTTTTCTTTAGTTGAGATAAGTTGGAAGATTAAGCAAGTAGCTGGTTTGTACAATAAGCATGTTTAGAAAAGGCATGGGGGATCTGTTTCTATGTATTACCCAGGAAAGTGAACAGAAAGAGGAATCTGCTGCACTGAGCTGCACAGAAGAGGGCACGGAGCCAGAGCTGCAAAACCTTGGAAAATCAGAGGATGAAGAGGAGAGCCAGAAAGAGGTGCCACTGGGCATGATACAACTCAGTAGTGACGACATGTACCTCCCGCATGTGTGTGATCCTTACTTTGACCATCACTGCTTTTGTATACTCCCCTGACTTTCCCAGTAGTGTTATGATGCTCTGTGTTCATTAGAATGCCAGCACATATTGTCTTTTATCTAAACCAATTTGACATATATTAGTGCTTGTGGAGGACTGGTATCTGTATGAATGTGATTTATACTGATTAGCATCACATTGTTCTATTAAGTAGTATATTAACAGTAGTATAATACGTGATTATTGGAGCAGCAAGACATCAGAGATAAATTCCAAACTTTGAGTACAGTAGCAATTTTTTGGTTGCAGCTAATCATTATAGCATTCATATATCACAATGCCAGATGTTTGCTGTGAACGGTCAACTTTCTGTCAAGATGAAGTTTAAGGCCTTGTTCTCTCTGGGCGAGTTCCTCCGGCAGGAACCTATGGATTTCTGTGTCAGGAAAACCAGATGTTTCGATGCAGCCTCTGTGCCAATTCAAGTTAATGAAGGGGTGACTGCGACCGCATCTGTAAACAGCGGTCCTCATGTAATCGTATATTATACGATTACATGCGTTTTGGAATAGATCACTAACGCTGGACACATCTATTCTGCGACCAATGACAGTGATCTGTTTCAAACCCCACTTAATCGTATCCTATACTGTCACCCCATCATTAACTGGAATGGGCACTGTGTCTGCATCTAAATAGGGACGCCGGCATTCCTTCTGCAGGAATTGTTAGGTTCCTGCTGCAGGAATGCCAGAACGTCCAGTGTGAACAAGGCCTCAATTTTATGTTTGTGTTCAAATTTGTCTGTTATGTTAAGAGCTTTGTTATCTCTTCACTTGCTGAGCATTTGTATAGTAGTGTTGTAACCTGGAGAAATATCATCATCAATTTCTCTAGAGGAGATTGATGGGGAGTGGGAAAGTGCATCCATCTTCCGTTTCCGCTGCTCTTTCATCACAAGCTGGCCAAGACTCCAGTGTGGGCATTGATGAGACTTCCCAGGCTGGAGAGTGTGAGCTGGTGCACGGTGGTTCTCCAGCTGAAATGCCTGCACAGAAACAAGAGCCTGTGCCTGGTTCCCCTGACAGAGAGACTAAGGACGGAGAAGCATCTGAAAACTCTGCATCTTCCATGGCTGGAGAGCTGGGTTCTAGTGCCAGAGATTGCATCCTGGAACAAGATGAGCGAGATGTAGGAAAAATTCCCATCCTTGTACCACTAGCTTCGTTTTTCATAGATCTTATCCATAGTTCCTACTATGCTACTATGTAGCTAGTTTAGTTCTCCTGAAAATATACATTGTCTGTACTGTATATTCAAGTAGCCAGTTTTCTGTTATTAGTGGCATAGAATAAGCCTGTAGAGTCTGTAATTGCTATGTTGGTTTTCTACTAGCTGTAGTAAAAAAAACACAATTTTTTTAAAATAAATCTCGAATCTTTGTTGTACTGTGTGTATTTTAGAAGTGTGCAGCAATCTTAGCATGAAATAACTCATGCAGTTTGCTGCGTGCAGGATAAGGTGTTTCATTTTCTAAGGCAAAAAATAAACTGTAAAATGTTTGCAGACTTTGCTTACGGCCCGAGTCTCAGTGATGTAAAAGATATATATGCTAAATTTCAAGAAGATTGGATAATATTTAGAGGTTGCACACTTTGATCTGTTTTGTAAAAGTAGGCAAAAAATAAGATTTTTCAATGTTAATTACTTTTATTGGGAAAACTAAAAATCACAAACTTAAAATCCTATTAAAACTATACATTAAGATTAATAGGTAATATGATAGGCAAAACATGTGTTATATTAATCAACTTTGAACGATGCAATCCCTTGTTTTGTTCGCTTGGTGACGACTTTTCTGTGATGCTCGACTACCCTCAACAAGAATTGTTTTTGTTGTTCATCCCTGACCGATTCATTATACTTTTTTATCAGAGCAATTCCTCTTTCTGCGGTATCATTGACAACCTTAAGAGCGTTCACATGGCTTCTTAGAGAATCACTGCAGTATTCTGTCACGTCGTGGATCACAAACAATTCAAAGAACGTCTTTGTTTTATTAGTAACAAAATGGCTCAGGTCTTTTCCTTCAAAAACCATGTTTTTACCCTCTAATCGTTTCACTTCCTTTTTTCTTTGCATTTTTGGTTTCTAAATTTTTAGTCCTATTTTCCTTAACAACCTGAGTAATACGTTCATCCAAAAAAGCCAATCCTACGTTTGTTTCTGACAGATACCAAAGGTGTCTCTTAGCAACTGTGAGATCACATTTTTTGACGTCTGCATCTGGGTAAGTGCGGAGAAGCTGTAGCATATCCAAATCATTCTTTGGAGCCCATCGACTTACAATTGCCTCATGCCAAAAGCGAACATATATGAGGCTGACAAAATGTGCAACCCGTTTCATTCCTTCCAATTGTCGTTGAGGAATATTCAACAGTTTAGTGAAGAGGACAATTTTAAGTGCATATATTGCCTTTGCCATCCACCTTGCTTGATGCAGTGCCCATGGGATTCTGAAACTGAAGTCGTTTTTAGACCAACCTCCTAGGTACAGGAGTGAGAGTTGTAATAACTCTTTGTAGTCTTCTCTTGGATGACTTCTGTCTTTTAGGACATTTTGGATGTAGTTAACCATTTTCACTCGTTGTTCTTCTGAGTGAGAGGTGTAATAGCTTTTTGTAGTCTTCTCTTGGATGACTTCTGTCTTTTAGGACATTTTGGATGTAGTTAACCATTTTCACTCGTTGTTCTTCTAGAATGCCTTGAACGGGACTTTCTTCATCCAGAATCCAGACCATTAGTGTAAAGCACTTCAATGTTAGAAATGTCACTAGTTTGTGATAAAAGTGATCAATGTGTGCAACCCCTAAATATTATCCAATCTTCTTGAGTGCTGGGTCCCACCCATAGCTCTGCTTCCTGGCCATGTCCAGCACAGTGATAATATCAGTGCTACTCTCCCAAGGTAATGTGCTGGCTTATTAAGGCATTGGTGCACACAAGCAGGATTTACAGGATCCTTTCTGGCTATTCAGGAATCTATTTTAATAAGGAGTTTGTGTCCTGAGTTCTGCTTTTAACAATGTTTTGTAGTGTATATAGTATATATTGAAGTGTAGTATGTGTTTGTGTGTGTGTGTATATGTATATATATATATATATATATATATATATAT